AGACTGGGTTTTTTTTTTTGCTGAAGAAACACTGGAATAATTGTCAAACTATTTTTTCTTTCTTCTACGCACACAAACTAGTTCACCTATTTGTATTGTTTAAGGAACGTTTAGTTTTGCTTGGGAGAGTTTTCAAAGAAGTACAGTCGCAAAAGTATTCTCTGTTTCACACTATCGTGGTTAAATGTCAAGCGAGTAATAATATGTTGACTAAACTACTCTAAAGCATCAGACTTGATTACACTGCTTTTCAGTTAGTCAAGTGTTAAATGCTTCATGCATGATGGACGTTTCTAAGCCTGCCACTTAAACCAATACTCAAAACATTGTGACACCACGTAGCACTGACTTGATCACGCCATGATCATGCTGCCAGAAGCTGAACGCATTGGTCACTTAACATGATAATCATGAAAGGGTGAGAGAGGGAGGACCCTTTAAGTTTGCAGCAAGGTGCCAAATAAAGGAATAAAGTAGTTTGAAAGGGCTGACGTTGACGACTCGATAGGTCGGAGCGGATTCATTTCAGCCTCGCACTCTCTCTCTTGCATTTTATAAATGCCCTTCTTGTTGAAATAGAAAGCTAGTTGGAAGTCATCGCTCTTCGCCTCTGTTGTCTCGTCTTTTCCTAATCAGTTTTTTGCGCTGTTAACCATTTTTGAAAGGAGCAGAGAAAGGCCAATATGAACAGTGTAAAACCACCTATATAGTGACAGTGTCTTTCGCGTGGTCTTGGAACAATATTATGGGATTCACCTGCAAAATGGAGATGATACCATGACATGACAATTTCAATGATCAATGGAACATAATTCACCATCTTATGCTGGGTAGGAGTTCAGTCTTCAGTGTGTGTTGTTTTTTGTTTCATTTTAATTTCTCTTTTCCTGATCCCGAAATTAAAACTACAAATAACAATTATACAAATACTACAAGTACTACAAATAACAGTCTACAATACTACAAATAACATTCTGTGTGCTTTCCTTACCTTCACATGATACACATAAAACAAGATGTATCAAGCAGACATTAGAACAATTATTTTGATATAGCTACATTAGTTCACACTGTTCAGCCTTAGCACGGTGTCCTTAATTCATCGTATTTACTCGCGTAATTAACGCACTTGCATAATAAACGCACCACCTACATTCATCCCCAGCTGTCCTGCTAACCGACACCTGTCGCCGCCTTGCCCGTTAGATCTCTTTCGGTTTTTATTATTGTGCCGACCTCCGTCGGCCACCTTCGCTCGCTCCCTCCCCCCTCGCCCGCTGTGGCACATTGTATTGTTCTTATTTCTATCTGCACCTAGCACATCCCCTGTCTTTTTAATATTGTTATCAATATTATTATCCGTGCATCATAGTGGCATTCAGAAACGGTGCGAGTGTAGAGACATTGCAGCTGATAAGCACACAGTTAGCAAAGGTCACGAAACTGCCTGCGCTAACGGACGGTCACTTCCTGCAAATACGAAACTTTAAGGCCCAACCACGTGCCCGTTATTTTCGAACAACGACGACATGGTTTGCTGTCGCGAAGGGTCATTCATTGCCATTGTGTCGCAGGTTTTTGGAAAACCAGAAAAAATAGTTTGTTGCTCAGAAAAAAATTGACTATTTCGGAACATGGTAGCACCCCCAATTTTTGCCTTAGCTGCAATTTGCTTTTCGTGCTTGCTATCTGCGTGTACTTTAAGGAACGCAAGATATAGGCTACCTTTTCTTCAGTAACCTCTCAAGTGAAGAGTGAGACGGAAACTGCATTCTGTCGTTGATCTTGTTATCGATTGTTTGTTTTGGATGCTTAGGTGGTAGCTTGGTGCAATGTCAATGGCGTTGTAGCGGTTGTCGTGCGAGGCTGCCACAAAGTTGGCAAAGTGCATCGTAGTGCACGCTTGTGGGCACCCCTCGAGATCAATGCTGATGCCATTGTCGTGGTTAAATGTTCGCGAGAAAGAAAAGCCACAAGATGCTTTTATTGAGTGCGCGGGCGGCGCAGCGACAGCTTGCAGAACGTAGTGTCTTCAACAACCTAAGATGAGTAAAGTGCAACAAAGAAGCGGTTTCTAAACTGCGTACGTGTATGTCAATTGAGAAAGGCTAATCGACCTAACTTTCCTTTTTCACATTACCACATTCTTGCTCACCCAGAAAAAGTTTTTGTTAAATGTGCCTCGGATAAAAAATGCACCTGCAACTTTGCTCCGATTTTTTCTAGAAGAAAAATGCTTTCATTACGCGAGTAATTACGGTATATACCAAGCTTTTTGCTTTATTTAGAAGTACCTGTGGGGGTCCAACAATGAAACATGAGTATTTTGCCGGGAATATTGTGTGGCAAGCTTTTGTTGCCTGTTGTCATCATAAGCAGCACTATTCCTGTTGGCCATTGCAGGACACAGCTTTTATCACAGTGATTTCCAAATTAGCTTGTCACGCATAAGCTGGTTCCTTTTTATGCCTGCAGATTTCTTAATTTGATCACCTTACCAAACCCTCCGCCATCATTTACTGTAGCTTCTATTTCTTGGTATTCATCCCATTACTCTCACTGCCAGTCCTTCGTGTAATGTGACGAACCTTGGTGCCCCTCTGCCTCTGTACTTTCTTCTCCGCTCTCCCTCTCTTTGTTTCTTGATTGATAGCAACTACATTGACATTCCAAGAGCATTTTTTTATTGCCCTTGCTGTTAGCTCGAGTGGGCATAATACCCACGAAACTTCCTGAACTTCATGTTTGGTTAGTGTTAATACCCATGGAGCATCCCCCCTTACCGAGTCTGAATAAACCAGCCCAGATATACATGCTTTTAAAATTTCACATCTAAGTAGTTTCACACAAAGTTTGTGAAAGCATAAGTACCTTCACGATTTGCCTATTGTCTTTTATGCGAAGTAGACACTGAATCAAAAGTTTCATTGTAGCGAGGTTCAAATGTAACCTACATTATACTCTTATATTTGCATGCCCCTTCTCTGTCCCATGTGATTGTGAGCAATGAAATTCTTGCAGTTAAGCTAGGCAAGCAGATTAGTTGTGTCAGATCGAGCTCCACCCTGCAAACAAGGCAAGCTTTTAAAAGAGCTACAAAGAAACATACAAAGGGATATCAGAAACAAAAACCATAGAGAGAAATAGGCGTGAGTAGCACTTTAAACCTGATGACGACCTTTTTAGAAATTAAATTAAAACAGTTGCTTATTTCTGTTTTTGAACTTATCTTTCTGACAAACTTGCTGTACTTAGTTGCCGAGAAAAACACTTAGCGGCTCAATTTTTTTTCTAATTGATGTGGCCTGGACCAATGGAAAAATGAGCTATTTGGTAACAATTTGTTATAAAATAAGGTTAGGCATCACACTGGAACACAAGAGAATAGAACATGTCAACACAAATGCCAACTATCTGCTGAAAGGGTGCATTGCTGCGAAAATGAATTGAGGCCTGGCATGTCGATAGTACTGGAAGTGCAAGCGTGAGCCACCTTTTGATTAATTTACGCAAAGAAGAGATGAACTTTCTGAACAGTTATCGTTCGTGTAGACTCCCGCATACGCCAATTGACTGGATGTACTCCGGCCCCTGCAAATGCGCAGATAAGCCTTTATATCTGTTTTTTTTTCTGCTGCAGTACATTCTTTCAGTAGGTAGTCACGTTTGTGTTGTTCTCTTTATTTTATCTATGTTTGCATTCCTTACATTCTTTTATATTTATTTATTTATTTTGCAATACGGCAGGCTATGGCAGGCCCAAGCAAAAGTGGAAGATCAAACATAAAACACAATAAACTAACAAAGAAATCAGGACTACAAATTCATAATGTGACTAGCAATCAAATAGAAATTCACGATTAAAAGTATAATATGTACCTGTACTTATATAACAAGCTCAAAAAAAAGTAAAAAAAGGAAAGGCCACTGAAACAACAATCGTTTCAGTGCCGCTTGAAAATTTACCTCCTCAAAAATATATTTGGGGAGGGCATTCCAGTCGGAAATTGTTTGTAGAAAAAAGCTGCATTGCAATTCCAGTTGTCGAAATGTCTCAGACACAGAACCCTGTGTTTACGAATGGCTGCATCAAATGTTTTCATCGCAAGCATTTCATGCAGCCACCTATTGATGTGGCTGCTTGTTCTTGCCGCACCAGAGATCTCTGAAACCATGCTCAATCGTGTGCTGCCACGGTGTACGAACCAGGTGCACAGGTAGAAGGGGCATCATTCAGTTTCGTAGGGAACAGTGTTGCTGGATGCGTGTAATGAAATAGCAAACCCTATACAGCTGCTGCAAAAGTGCAAAAACTTGCCTTCTTAATGTATGATGTACAGCAATATCACAGTATTTGTTTTTATTGGTTGACAGGGTCTTCCTTCATTGAAGTTTAATATGTACTATAAATTGCAGCTGGTACATTACTTTCACCACAGTGGAAGTGCCAATTTCATCATATGTTTGTGTTTTTGCGTCTTTTGCGTTCAATGGCTTTGCTCTCGGCAAATGTGGCACTTTGGGCTCCTTAAAATCAGATTTAGTCAGTTCAGTTTGATTTTTAAAAATCCATAGACAGGGGTTGTGTGCCTGGGGCATTGCTTCCTGACAAGTGGACTTCTCTTCTGCAAGGCTAGAACTGATTTCAGTTCTTTAACAAAACAAGTCCACTTGTTCGAAACGTGGGTTGCAGCACAGAACCCCTGTTTACCTATTATTATCATTATTTTCATTGCAAGCTTCCATCTTTCCCTTCCTGCTGTTTTTTAGATTTCGATTTCACTTGATATTCACTTTTATTCTTGAGTTTCACATCGCCTTGAGTAAATCGGGGTAGTTGTGCAGATTTTTCATGGACATGCAATCAGTATTGACTAACACTGCATGTCCTACTTAAGGGCTAGTGGTGTCAGTAGTGTGCCTACAGTGCACCACATAATCGGTGCACTGTACCTAATCGAGAAATATCGCTTTCTTACAAGCCCTTCCTTGTTTTTCAGGCGCACTGTCCGTAGTATGCACGGTGATAAGCACGTGTCTGTAAAATCGGAGCCAAAGGACAATCCCAGTTCAGGCGAATCGCAGGAGTGATTTGCTTGCTGCTTGCTGCTTTCTTTACCTTGCCTCTCAACACTTTTTTTTTTTCTGTTTTCCTTTCCATTATTAACCAAAAACTTCATATTGTGACATTCCTCGCCATGCTCATTGCTTTTCTTTTTGTGTTCGCTTTGTTGGTCTCTGCAGAAAGCGCATGCTGTCTTGCTAACTGAGTAATTCAGTGTTACTGACTCGTTAGCTTACTTGCTATCCGTTACTGGTCACACATTGTGATTTCTCCGGCCTTGGTAATTTATTCTCATGTTACATCTCGCCGCACTCAGTTTTACGTCTCCCATTTATATCATTGCCACTTTCTCATTCACTGCCACAATTTGCTCATTCAATGTACTGTGCGCCAAAGTAGGATTGTCATTACGTATGATAGCACGGGCTGGTGCTGGGACCACGTGCCATTTGTGGAGAATGCTCGGAAAGGAATATTTTTATATATTGTTTTATTGTGCACTGGTTGATGAAGCATACACGTAGGAGAAGCTGGGGTCATGCATTTATATGCTGTGAGGTATTTAAATTGATACATACATGTGTTCTGACACTGAATGTAGAAATATTTTTGGTGTTGGAGCTTGAAAGAGCATCATGTTGAAGCAACTTCTGTTTCTGAAATTTTGCTCACTTTTTTAGATGTTTTACATACTTTTTTTCTGGAAGGAGGTATCAGTAAATCCTATTTTAGGGCTCTTTTTACCAGAGTCTCTGCATATCCTTCTTTTGAAAAAAAAAAAAACAGATTCCTAAAAATAAGCAATCTTAGATTTCATGGTTGACCATGGTTCCGGGGTATGGGGAGTAGCAGAAAAAGTGTTCTTTGAGGTGCACAGTGCTCACGGATTGAAATGCAACATCATTTTTTGGTGGTAAAACGACTGGTGTGCAAAATTACTGGAGTTGACTACGTCGTGTCGCAATGTATCTGGCCTCATCAGGTATTTTTGGTGCTTATCTACATGTTTGAGTCGAAATTACTCCGCTGTGGTCCATACCGGAGAGGATGGAAACGAAAATATATGCATTCCTTAGCCCTTAATTGTCCCACTTCAGTCTGCGAGTACTGTACATGTGGAAGTACCACTCCTGGTTTTCTTTTGCATTTGTTAACTTTTTTGAGCTACATCATCAGAATCCTTTCTTGAAGGGCCAGTAAACAAGTTCACTGATTCATACAGAGAATTCATACAGGCTGTAGCTACCAAATTTTGTGAATATCACAGTGCTGCATGCTGGGCAGATGTTTCATTTCGAAAAACACTTCCCTGTGCTCCTGTCCAGTTCGCGTCACCCGCAAAATGGCATAATGCTGCGCATGGCCAAATCGCACAGCACTGACTGGCTTTGCGCATTGCCGATGTTAGTGTAGTCGTGATGATGGGCTACACCTGCCCCTCTGCGTTGCAGAGAAGGTTGGTCAAGCCAAGAAAGAACCAAGACTAGCAAAAATAGTGGTATTATTGCCTCAAACTTCATTATTGCACAACTTATTTGCAAAATTCTCACAGCAGCATGTTCACATTGTACATGTGTACAGTTACCTCATTACAAATAGGCAACTGCACAGTTGTGTTTATTGGCCCTTTAAAAGGACTGTTGAACTCATGAACCGTTCATTGTAGAATTTGGAAATTGTCATTGCTTAGATTTATAGGGACATTTGGGGAGCATGTATTCCTGTTGTTGACCTTTTGTCATTACAAGCTATTATCGTCTTTTATTTGACGTGTGCCATCAAGTGGAAACGTATCAAGTCATCTGACTTGCATGTATGATGTTCTCAACACCCGGTCTACCACATGTCAGTCACTGTTCTATAATATTGACAGTTATTAGTTGTTACTACCGTAGAGCCTTATGAGTGCAAATGAACTCAAAATGCCAATGCACTGTTTTTTCTCATGCACCGTTATTTTTTTTTCTCCTGTTGAAAATTTATACAAAAAGCAATACATGGCAGGCACAAGTGTTCCTGTTTGCAATCAAGTGTGTACTTATATGAACCTAGAGAGCAAATGTGGGGTGTTTATGATTGTTTTACACTGTGCTAAAATGAGAGGCCAATTTAGAAAGTAGCAATCAGCTTCTAGACTAGTATATTGGTAAAATTCTTTAGTGTACATTCAGTGGGAATAGCTGAGGGGAACCCCCAATTGGGAAGGAACATTTACTAACATTCTTTTAATTGAGGTTGTGAATTTGTGCCTTGTTTGGTGTCAAATGTGAGGGCTTACAAAAACCGGACATAAACAACGTTGAAGAATAAAGCGAAGCATTATTCCCAAGTTAATACGTGTGTATTGAGGCCATATTATCTGTTGATCCATTTTGTTTCCTATTCTTTACACACTTTGTTATTAGCTTGTACTTAGCCACCATTGTGTACCAGCCACTAACTAAAGGCAAAAGGAATGCAAGTTACTGTAGATTACTTGAATATACAGCCTCTGGCATCTTATTTAATCTTTTGTCATTATGTTATCTTTATTGCTGTTGAATCTTCCTTAGGTGTTGTCTCGAAGGGACCATCAACCAATTAGGACATACGGTTATATCCTAATGGAAATTGAAAAACACTGAGTTATCACAACAGAATTGAGTATTCTTTCTGTAAATTTTTAGGACTTGTATATTTAAAGTTTTTCTTTTCAAAGTTGTAAAAACTTACATCAGGCTGCCTAATGGACAGAGAGGCATTGCTACTGCATGAAGGTGACATTTGGATTGGTGTAAACAGTCCACAGTTGTTTAGATGCACTGTAATTCATGTTTATAGTTACAGTCTCTATTCAGTTAGGCATCCCCACTTTATTCCATGCTTATTACAATGTAAAAGGGGTTGATGCTGTGAAGTAGTTTGCCTTTGCAACAACTGCTAAAACCTAGAAACCATGTTTACTTGGACATGTGTGTGCACAATATATTGCAGCACACAAAGACCAACTGCTGCTATAAGACCAAAGACCAACTGCTGCGTTTTGTCGATAAGGCCCAACTAGTTTCCCGGTGGGTGATCACTATTGGACTCGTGTGCCACTGTGTGCAGCATATGTAGCGTCTTTGACTTCATTGGCACTGCCAATGAAAAAAATTACGATCAAGTTTCATGGCGTTCTTTGCTTACTGTGGCAGTTAAGCTTTCTGTTGCACTAAAGAAAACTGATATGGTATAAATTAAGTTCCTTATTTTTCTTCCACCACTCCTGAATTTCATTGGAGAATATCGATGCTATTATTGCGATGTCACCGATTTAATGGGGTCGTGGGAAAAAAAAAGTGAAGCAACCTGGTTGTAATATTTACTGCCTTTAGTAGACATCAGGCAAGCCGATTCCTAAATATTTCAGCGCAGTATTCTGCATACATTTAAAAACATCTCTTTGAAATTCTGGAATTCTTGCAGTCCTAAAACTGTGATGTCATCGCCTGTTGCCATGGGCACTAGTATGGTGACATCATGAGGCATTTGAACTCATAAACATATCGTTAATCTTCACCTGTTCTAAAATTATAAATTTATATGGATGCTAATATATTACAGCAATTTTTAGCTTCACATTAGTGCTCGAAGTCCTGAAGGTGATTACGATGTAACCCCGCTATAGAAATATGAGAGTTGTCTGAACAGCGTGTGCACCAGTTTTTAGCAGTCTCTGATGATGGCGGGTTCGTCTGGGCTTTTTCAGTTCAGGGTGCTTCATGTCGGCGCACATAGTCAAGGCTCATTTTGTATAGCAATCAGGTCATCTTTGCATGAATTAGCGACAGATAGCACAGTTTGTGCACATGGCGCCTCTACTGATACTTGCTAGTCGAAATAGTATGATGCTCCGAAGCTCAGTCAACTGTGGCTCAGCAGGCCTCACTGCAATGCAATGTTTTGTCGACGAGAGAGACTCTTGATTGGCTGAGTTAGGTGACGTGAGCTGTAGAGCTGAGGGTAACGTGGACTAGGGAATTCAAATTGTGCCTTTATAGCTGTAAATCAACGCGGACGATGAAACGAGTCAAGGTATAGTATGTAATGGACAACCATGCTTTCAATTTCACAATGTAGTTAAAAATTTTAGGCAGACCTTTCACGACCCCATTTAATTAAATGAATTTTGTCCATGTTGGCTTAGTAAGCGTTCTGAAAACATGCTATGTTATTTTTTCGGTTTTCCTTACAGCACAGTTTATTTTTAGCTATAAAAAAATTATACACATCCCAGCAGACTCCATCAAAAATCGGTAGCATCATTGCAAGCTACTGAGGATAGTGCTTGACTTCATTGCCACTATTTCTTTTCTTTCTTATTGTCTCTTCTGACTTTTTATGTGACAAGAACATTGCTTTTGACTAGAATTATTTTCTAGCAAGTGAAACACTTTTTGGCAATGCTTCTTTAAGATGGTTGCTGTACTATACATTTTTTGAAGTTGCGACTGTTGGTGTGGCATTTCTGGATAACATGGTAGTGCAAATAAATGAGGAGTCGAGAAAGGCACACGAAGACACACACGCAGCTCTAGCTTTGTGCATGTGTGCACTCTTGTGTGACTATCGTGTCCTGGTTTGTTTGAGCTACTATAGTGTTCGGAGATTAGTACCATTTTTTGTATCCCTTCTGTTCGATATGAGGCCTCCATTCATTCTTTGTAGTCAAGACTGTTGTTCTGCATATATCTCAATGTTTTTACCTGGTTTGTCTTTGACCTGTAGAAACATATAGATGTTACAGATTATTCCCTTTTTTTTTGTAAAAGTTTTTTTGTTATTAGAAGTATTGCATCAGCTCACAAGAGAAGAAACGATGTCGAGATCAGTATTTCATATTTTTCTACGATGCAACTTATGAAAGTTTGCACAAGACTTACTGTATGGCCCAGTTCTAAAAGTGACCATGGTAGCAAGCAGCGGCTGTTATGCAAAATTTTCATGGCATGTGTTAAACTTGTGCTGAAACTGAAGGGTGTGCGTACTGTATCTTTATGCTATTGTGTCTGTTGTTCACTCTCTACTCAAACTATGCTCCCAGAATGAAGGTACTGTTTTAAGTATTGTGCAAGAGTGTAGAGAGTTCTAATGTTGAGTGCTCAAGCACTTTTTCTTGTTAAAATGTATACATGCTCCGGGAGTGTGATGTGGCAGCATCAGTTGTGGCTGCCCGGGAATGTGAATGCTGCCTGTACTTCACTCTTCTGCATATATGTCAGTGCCTTTCACTGCCTTGCCTCATTCTGGCAATAGTTCTCTTAAACCTGTGATCTCCTCTGCTATTTTTGTACGTGTTTTTGTGACCAGAAAAAATAATAAAAACTTTTTGGTTTGTCTTGTTGGTGTTTCCTTTTTTTCTATTTGCTTTTCTTTTTTTCTCCAACATCTTTTATATTGTCCCCTTTCCATGCTACCAAAAGCAGGAAAAAAATTACACTATAAATATCACTTATTCACTACAGCGCTTGCTAAATCAAAACTCCACATTTGTGCCAAATTCGTACTTAAATGTCTAAACAGCTGAAAAGTGTATCATAATAAGTTTGACTTGTGAATCTCTTGCACTGTGCAGCCCTACCTGTCTCATGGGGAAGCTTGTTTCAATGCCTGATAACAGTCCAGCAGCATTCATTTTGTGGTTGCTAGTGTATGTTTTTGATGCATCAATAGCTGAGTGGACAGCATAGCAAGAGTTCAGCAAAGGCAGCGCTGGATGTCTCAGTTCACTTGTGAGCAGTGGGTGAGCACTGTGGAGATTTACAAGCAACTTGTGGCAGCATGGGGCAAGCAGGCAGCATCCTGATGATCTGGTGAACAAATGGGTGGTTGGTTGGCCATCAGTCAATGGTGAAGTAGACCAGGTCCAGGTGGCCTCCAAGAGGGGCAGTTCGACCCAATACTACCCAAGTGGAATGAACAGACCTGCAATGCAAGCACTCACTTTATTGCCCATTTGTTCCTTTTTGTGTATCCTGTTTTTTGCTTTAAATAGACTTCTATATAAGGAGCAGTTAACATACAGGGGCACAGCATAGCACACATTCCATAACAGAACAAAACACAACGTCACAAGGGAATGAAAGAGAGTATACAGTCAATTGGTAAAAGGGAAGCGCTTTGGAAGAATGCTTCACATATTAATCATCTGCAAAGGGAATTCATAAGTGTTTTGATTGCATGAAAAAAATTGTTATAATTGAATTTGGGGGGGGGGGGGGTATTGTTTTTTCAAGCTTGAAATTGAAAAAGTACAATAACTTTTACAATTTATTTGTATTAATGTCTTGCTTGAGTGCTATGTGGTGTCGCAATTTCAGAGATGTTCAGGGGGCACTGGTTGCTATTTTCGCAAACTGTCAGTGCATGATTGCATTAAGCCAGGCACAAAGCAGGCTTAATTCGATTTTCCAGCTCAAGTACTTACATTTCAATCCCATCAAAGTCGTCTGGAGAACATTTTATATGTGTTCTATCGGACGAAACGGTGTCTCTGACCATTCCGTGCATGTTGTTTTCCTAGCATACTACAACCTTATTGGTAGCACTGCCTTTTTCGGTTGCTGTTCTCACAATTGACCTTAAGAAGTGCCTGGACCAATCTTGTGCAGCACGATCGAATGTTTATCACAGAATGTGCCCCAAGGTTGTGCACCAGGAGTTAACCATACACTGCCTGAGTGTAGGCACCTTGCATCGAAAAAAAATGTACTTGCAGAAGGGTGAAGAAGAATTGCTTCGTGATAAATATAAAAGAGCTCTTAACATACGAGACGAAGAAAGAAGTGACACATACTGGTCTGCTTGTGTTACTTCTTCCTTTGTGCCGTGGGTAAGCGCTGTTTCTTATCAAGCAATCCTACCAACTCGTCCAATCAGCCTGTCCCTCTCTTTTCAAGACTCTCTCCCCAGCAGGCAAATTACATTGTTTTCCTGGGAAGTTGCATCTCGAAAGTGAATTTTCAGTCTACAAATAGATGTGTAGTTACACCTTTGTGTGGTTACACCTTTGTGTTGTGACACCAAGAACAGTGAGGTACTGGTGTGCATACAGTGACATTCCCAATTGATGAGAGGTAGTTTAGGACAGTTCACTACTGTTCTTATAGTGGAAAGTGTACAACCATTTCATTTCCGTTAGTTTTAATATAATCGAGTAAAAAAAAACTTGGAAAATAACAAAGATCTTATGAAGAAGCCAGAATTACACAGCATGCAGTGGAACTAATAAATAGTGGGCTTAGCATTAAAGGGATACTGGCACAAAGTTGAGATTATGTAATTATATTGATTGTCATTGCCATACTTTTGTATAGTATGTTTTTTTTTTATTTGTATGTCAATGCTTCCGACCCATTCATTTATAAGGTAGCGGGAACTAGTCAAGCTGTTTTAATACAGCTTTTACTTCCGCTATCCTTCATGTAGTCTCAAACATGAAAATAAAGATTCGATTCAATTCAAGTTTTGCGGCCAAGATAACCTTCAGGATCGATTCGTTGAGCATTCGTATTTCATCTGCAAAATATCAAGACTGTAATAATGAATGGAAGGTATCTGAAAGTAATTTTGAAGTTCGCACGAGTGATCGACTCCATCACGCTATTGACACCCTCAAAAAGGGACCCCCTGCTTCCCTTAGGTTACCTCGCTATAGCAAGTTACAACATCATAGGCGGCATTTTTCCTTGGTCGCATTTGGTCCAGCAGACTTACTCAGCAGCTGCTTGCAAGTCCATGGCCACTGCACAAGAGCTGAAAGTTTTGTGTTTAATGACATTACTGTCCCGTTTCCCGTTAGAAAAAACTTCCTGATGCGAACCGTGCGGAAGTGAGTCACAGTTCAGTGTGCCGACATGGTCAAGTGTTGCACTTGCTAGGCGGTGATAGGTGCACCCGGTGGCTTGTCGATTTGAAACCGAAACTGGTTGGTATTAACAAGCCTGAAATTGATTATCTGTTGCATGCTGCAGAAAACGACGTGTCGTGTGATGACATACATACTGCCAGGAACAGATTGCATCAAAATTTTAGTGTCAGTATCCATTTTACAGAGAGCAAGACAGCAGAGTGAATTGGTGCAAAAATGGCTAGCCATGAGAAATTAAAGCAACAGATGGTCAATAAGAACATCGTGATTGGAACAGTGAGATGGGAAGCGCAGCCTAAGATGGCAGGAAATTTGTTTATGTGATGAAACTTAAATATTTGCAGGGAATAAAATACAATTCATTGTTTCAGCACATGGTGGGTTCAAGATCATTGGATGATGCCTTGCTCCACCAATGAACTTGGGATAGGCCGATAACAGCACACAAGTTTCATGTAAACGTACAGAATGTAAATTTTCATGCCCTTTTCATAATTTATGAAAAACAACAAAATGCTCATGAGAGATAATTACATAATTAGAAAATTTTGGTGCTCTAATGTACTGGCAACTTTTTTTCACGGATAATAAGATTATTGCCATTGCCATTGAAATAAAAATACATGAAATCACACCTGGAAAAAGCTTGTCAGTCAAGCCGTAGCAATTCAGACATATCTCAGATTTAATCACAGAGTGTTCCAGCAGCAGAGGTCACACAAAGTGCTGCAGTGTAGTCTGCTACTGCTTCACCTTTTAGTTATAGTGCAGTGCCTGCATAAACTAACATAAAAAATTGTGCTATATTTTCTATAAATTTCTTTTTTATTTTTGCTGCTAAGTGAGTTGCTCAAAAACGCTTTTGAATCTTCTAAAGTTGCAGCTGACATTAAACTATAAATCAAGGCAGGATTACTAAAAGTGGGTGAAGGTGAAAAATATGTATTCGATTTATAGTTGCTGCAAAGAAGGTGCAACTTCCTCTTCACCTTCTCTCTCTTTTTTTTTTCATTGCTTATGTAAGCACTGAAAAATAGAAATGTAAAATCACATTCCCGTGGCGAGAATAATGCTTAAATAATTTTGCTGCACATATGTAGCAGCTGGAAATAAGATAGAAATGTTGAAACAGAAAAATTGTCTTTGTCATAGTTAATATTTATTTTAACAATTCCTAGAAGTAAGCTTCACTGGAATGTGCAACAATGTTGCACAATTTAGAAAACCTTGCATGGCCATGCTCTTCCTGATTCAGCATTTAATAGAAGATTGCACTGTGTTCACTTAACTAGCGTAAGCATTATGTATCGAAAGAACAACCTGTTCCTTGCTGCAGTAGCGCATGCCTCTCTCTACTGTGCAGGGCCAACCAAGGAAACGGGGATGACTGTTCGCCACCTGCGTAACATCTGCGAAGGCACTCGTTGACAAACTGGACGCTGCAGCACGTCCTGGCTGGTATGTAGTGAACATATTATAGAAGTATGAGCGAAAATCGCATAAGTGGAAAAGAACTGACAGGACAGGCAGTGAAAATTTCTCGAATTTTCGTGTTTAAGTCAAAGCCCACAGCTTCATGCAATGCTGTTGGGTTCAGTAGCATAATGTCTCACTTTCCACTTTACATGCCATGTTTCCTGCACACGGAACCCAAAAGTTCCAAAAAAGCACTTAATTAGCAGGATAAACTTTCAAGCAGGCATGGTGTTTAAATTACTTGCTTACTGCGAACTGATTATTTTCCCCCAAATTTTTGTGGCGCCTATCGTGGGCGCATGCTCTCTACATTACGGTTGCTCGACACACTCGGCCAGTCTGTCCTGCTCAAGTTATAGAAACAATAGTGGTCAAGTTCTTGAAACAATTTGCACTGAACTTCAAGCAAAATTTTAGAAATTGAACGGAGTTGTATCTAAAAGCACATTCAGTATTGATTGCTGAGGGTTTTGTCATGAAACACTCCATGACAGGATCACCCAACAATTCGTAATTTTCTGTAAAAATAAATGTAGAAAGTCTACAATTGCATTCATGTGTGAAAAGTGGGCTGTAAAAGAATATTTCAGTGCAAAAGAAAACTTGGAAGTCGCTGGCTCTGAACCCTGTCTATCGCCAGCAATCTATTTTGCATTTGGAGTACATGACGGCCTGGGGTGCAGGGAGAGGAGCTGTCGTCTTCTATAAAAGTTTCAGTCACCTCGAGTCGTTTAATTTCGGTGCCAGGCTGAAAAGAATGCTTAAATATCTAGATTCAGCGTGCTGCTGACTATGGAACAATATCATTCGCCAGAATGCAGACGCTAGCACAGCAAGCTGCTTGCTACTGCCGTGGCTCACAAGTGCTCCAGTGCTATGCGGCTCTCAGGCCATTTGCATGTTTATATTGATTGATTGATTGATTGATATGTGGGGTCTAACGTCTCAAAACTAGCATATGATTATGAGAAACGCTGTAGTAGTAGTGAAGTGCTCCGGAAATTTGGACCACCTGGGGTTCTTCAACGTGCACCCAAATCTGAGCACATGGGCCTACAGCATTTTCGCCTCCATCGAAATGCTGCTGCCACAGTTGCGATTCGATCCCGCGACTTGCAGATCAGCAGCCAAGTAGCCGCCAGACTACCGCGGCTTGGCATTTGCATGCTTATAAAAACATTCAATTATAAATTAAGCGCCGAACCCAATGCTAAAATGTCAACGATTAGTTTGTGAATGCACTATGATTAACCCACATGACATAGATAATGATCGAAAGTGGTTGTCGTGGACCCCTTTGATTATTGTGAGTTTACTTGATCTTGTGCTTGGTTAGCTTTTTACTGCCAAGTAAGCTTTTGCCCTGTCCATTTTATTACCTTTCTAGCAGTTCTACGTCCCCTACCAGTACAGCAAACCAGCTTGCTGGCATGAAAATGGAAGACAGCACTGACATTACATCAGGACCTGGTGCTCTTCAGTGGTGAGTCTTTTAAGCACTGTCATATTGAGAATGCACTGTCTTCAGTATTGCTATTTAGTTTAATGTCCTAATGGTGTGCCTCTTGAATAGGTCCAATATTAAGGTGCCCGTTGCAATGGACCCCGGCACTTATGCACCACTGCCGCCTTTTTCTCTGTTTAAAGGGCCAGTAAACAGGCTCAGACTTTTTTCTTACACATGCCAAATGAGCTCGCCAATTCCTACAGCATATCTCAGCGATCACATTTGCCGAATACTACAGCGCTGCACACCACGCAGACCCTCCACCTTTTTCCCTCCATACAGTGAACAAGGGTGGCAAGTGGCCACGCCAAAATTAGAGATTGGCTAAAATGAATGTTCTAACCCCTGTAACTTCCTTAATATAGCACATATTCACCAATGCTTACAGCAGCATGCTCACATAGCAAAAGTGCACATGTTATTCTTCATTGAAATTTTTGTGCCTCGGAGTTGTTTACTGGCCCTTTAATTTACCACAAGCACAATAAATGACAGCACATTCCTCCAGCCTATTGTCTCAGCATATCACATTCGTTACATTCGCAACTAAATTCACAACTAAAGGTATAATTAGGAACTATGGTGGTGAATATCTTAATTGTGATTGCCTTAGTGAGAACTATGAATAAGCACGAGAAAAATGAGAGTAATAATAATTGCTGGAGTTTTACGTGTCAAATATAATTATGATGTGATTAAATAATAAATATTATTAAATATGATGTCAAAGCTACACTTAGGGATTCCAGATTACTGCTGAGCACGTGGGGTTTATCAATATACAGCTAAATCCAAGTACACAGCTCATCCTTGCGTTCTGCACCCACCAAAATGCGATTGCTGTGTCCAGGAATCTCATGCCCTCTAGCTTATCAGTGTGACACCTTACATGCCAAACTATTGTGGTGGGCTGAATAGCGAAAGTGTCCGTGGTGATCATGAATCTTCTGCTCGTGCTGCAAATTCAGGGAGAAAGCTTCTCATAGAGCATTGGAAATGTTTCACATTACCTACCTGGCAGTGCTGGCAGCCTTGCAAAGAGTGAAATATAAGAAAATACTAATGATAACTTCAAGGAGAGTCCGCCACTCTAGTGATGGCCGAGAATAGAGTTCAAGAGAGAATAGAGTTCAAAAGAATTCAAGTTCAAGGTTGCCAATGCTAAAAAAATGGACAACATCGAAAAATTCTGCAGCCCTCTCCAATGAGCTAGCAGCTTTTAACCACCCACTCGTTATGCACTTTACATAGTGTAACACAGTGTGATCTGGGGTGCAATTCTGTGCTTATGCCTTATAACATTGCATCTGTTGAGGTAACTACTTACTTGACATGATGTTAGATGGTAGTTTTCCAAAGCAGTTTCAAGCTGGCAAATTGGACAGCATGAGAATGAGGAAAAAAAGTTATATTGTAGAACAGCCTCAGTTCTTCTCTGTCTCATCGTTCTCACGCTGTTGAATTCACCATCATGAACCAAGACCAACTAGCCCAAGTTTCTACACTCATAAACTAAGTTTCAAGCACTAGCATGGTTCTAGTTAAATACTTGACTGCCTCGCACAATACCTAGGTTCGAATCTGGTATATTCCCGATTTTTGTGGGACTCCCAATAAGGTCACATAGGTCTTAGTACCGCAGGCAACATTTCTCTAGGCCAACATGTGTTGAGGCACTTGGGGCTTTCTTGTGGTTGTGTTTTTTGTTAGGGATTCTGCTCTTCTAAATCGCCAGTATTGAAGCAGTTTTACACTAATTGTGTCTTTTCTCTCACACACAGCTGGCTTGAGAGCATTGGTCTGCCTACATGCTTTCCTATTCTTCTGGAGAAAGGAATCCGTGACATGAATGGCTTGAAACTGATGAACTTCAAGGTATGATTACTGTGGTAATGTATGCTAGAGCCGTGCATAGGCTGCATTTCCGAGCCTCTGAAAGGGACACTGAAATGGTTTCGATTATTTTTTACTAACGCATTGGGCCGGTAGACCAAGTTTTATAGGTCATTTACAAACTGATTGAGGCTCTCTGAGCAAATTGTGCAATTTATTACAATGCTTTAAAGCTACGAATCGCTGCTGCCAAATTCATTTTCAACCTCCCATTCACAGTACAACATTCACTGGAAGCTCGACGTCACGCATGCTGCTGATCTGATTGGGTGCGAAATGCGTCGAAGTAAGGTCTGGTAAGATTGGCTAAGGTGACGGCACCCATCAGAGCAGGTATCAACCAATTTGCGATTCGTCTGTGTCCAGACCGCATCCGTGCTGCCGGGCGCTCTGGGGTTGCACACAGCCTGTCGGCGTGCCATCTCAAGGTCATAACAGCGAAGCTCAAATCGTTGAGTGCACTCATGAGAGCTCTGTGATCGCCAGTGATGTCAGCATGTCTCATGAGTTGAGGAGGCAAGGCAGGAAAGAAGGAGGGTATAATACAATTGTCTATAGTAGTCTTCGTATATGGTGTGTCTCTAAATTTGTAGTAAATATGGTTCGATGATGCTGTAGCCTAAACGCTGATAAAACTTCAGAACGCCATTTCAGGGTCCCTTTAAAACATTTTAGAAACTGTGTGAATTTTCAAAGAGTAAAAAGCTACCCATAAGCTATCTTGGTAAACCAATGAAAGAAGTTAGTCAACAAAAATTATTGATGCCGTGTTATGATAATAACTGCTTATATTCTATTCTTTAAAGACACTGAAGCGACTACGACTCAGGAAGCAGCAGGAAGATGCGCTGTGCAATGCCATACGTGACCTCAGCTATGATGAAGAGGATGAGGAGCTGTTTCCAAGTCAGGTAAGCCTCGGTCACCATGCACAGTCCAGCATGATTTTTCTTAGGTTCACCCGTGTGCCACAACACAAAATCGAAAATAAGAGGAAGGGAGGGTTTTGCGTTTGTTGTGCTTCCTGGACTGCATCTGTGACAGTACATTCAAACCTCATCATAACAAGGTTGCATCCTACATGAAAATAAGTTCGTTTCATTCAAAAATTTGCTATAACAGTTTGCATCCTACATGAAAATAAGTTCGTTTCATTCAAAAATTTGCTATAACAGTTTAATTTTAACATTACATCTATTGTAAGACTGTTCTTTATTTATTTTGTTATAGCCAATATTTCGTTATATCTGCTGATATATACCGAGGTTTGAATGCATATATACTTGAACTGAACTCTTAATCCTCCTTCTACACGATCCCGTGGCTCATGCACCCTTCCCTAGCTGAAAAGTCGCAAGACAATTCCTGGTCTCCTTCGTTCTAGCAATGCCAGTTCTCCCGGCCTCTACTAAATCATAACAAAACACCAAGGGCAGCACAGGAAAATGAAAAAAGGTGAATTGAGTGAACTTCAATGGAGCCATCTAAATAGTTCTCTTAAATGAAAGTTCACTAAACTGAATATGGAGCCATCTAAATAGTTCTCTTAAATGAAAGTTCACTAAACTGAATATTCATTAGAATAAGAAACAGCATGGGGTGCAGAAAAAAGTCATGTCAAATATGTGAAATGCAATTCGTTTGGAAGGAATTCTGTAATTTTCGTTTGGACTGACACCCTTACAGCACAAGAAAAGACAAAGCTGTCCAGAGGGTCTACGTTTTAGTGCACTGCATATTCACTAGAATAAGAAACAGCATGGTGTGCAGAAAAATGTCATGTCAAATATGTGAAATGCAATTCATTTTGGAAGGAATTCTGTAATTTTTATTTGGACTGACACCCTTACAGCACAAAAAAAGACAAAGCTGTCCAGAGGGTCTACGTTTTTGTGTACTGCATATTCACTAGAATAAGAAACAGCATGGGGTGCAGAAAAATGTCATGTCAAATATGTGAAATGCAATTCATTTTGGAAGGAATTCTGTAATTTTCATTAGGACTGACACCCTTACAGCACAAGAAAAGACAAAGCTGTCCAGAGGGTCTACGTTTTTGTGCACTGCCTCTCGCGTAGATTGTTTCTGGTGAGATGGAAGTCTCGCAGAATTTTCTTATATATCCTACAGCCTCCGCTACAGGTACAGGAGTTGGAACCTGCCTCAGCATTAAAACTTTTTTTTGTTGCATTCTACTTTGGTTTCGAATGAACACTGGAAACAATTTCCAAATCTTATACGTCTGCGCAGCTACTGAAGCCCACTTAATTTGTTTTAGTCTCCGGCCCAGTCACTTAGCCTCAATGATGCTGCATTTTAAAGCAGTGATGGAAGTGCTGCTTCAATTGCTCCAAAAGACAAATGCTGCTCTATGCTGCTCCAACGTTCAATATTTGCTAGTAACTGCTCCAAACCTGCTCCGAAAGGGTGTTGGCAAACTAAAAAAAATGAAGTTAAACCACGGGACTAAGCCTAAGCGAAACCAGAAGAAAGCTGTATACACTGTCATCCTAGTATGCTACTCAAGGGTTGCGTAAATCCAGAAAAATCTCAAGAGGTGACACATATCAGGCCATGATGTCCAATTCATGTTTTAGTACGGGTTGTATTTTTATTTCTATAGAAATAAATCATGGTTTCAAATGAAATTTGAAAAAAACCTGCATTGGGTTCGAGCTCGAGCAGTTGCATTGTTCCATTGAGTCTCTTTTGTTGACCTTCTTTCGATTTCTATAGCTCACACAGCTGATAGGCATTTAACACAGGTACACAGGAAAAGATAAAAAGCCTTTTAAAAAGTTGATTACACTATACTTACCTGTAGACTCAATTATATCAAGCGCTAAACCTAAATCTGAAGGGGAGCACTTTCAAGGGTCGTCCTCCACGGCCTGAACAGAAAAGAAGTCCGGACTCTCTCGACCCTTCCACTTTACCGCCCGTGATTAACGTCAACTATTCTGCTTATATACTAGTATATGGCATGTTTGATAAATATAAATATTTTTTAGATACATAAGTGATGTTTTAGACTTCAGGAGTCATTAGAAACATGAAAACACCAATAGCAACTCCAAGCTATAGCATCTTTTTCTGCTCCAAAGCACCGTTTTTACTGTTCCAGAATCTGCTCCAAAAAGCAAAGTGTCGCTTCCATCACTGTTAAAGCGATGTTGCACCGCCACTGATGGATGGGCGATTTGTGATGCCTGCAAGAATGCATAAGGTTTATTCTAAGAATGTCATTTCTTCACTCAGGAATTTCCTGGAGCGCAGTCACAGGGAACACTGTCACAGGGGAGCACAGCAGACTTGAGCCAGCAGAGCTGCACTTCAACCAGCAGTGCAAGGCAGTACCGTGTCACCCGTATTCGTGTTATCCAGCCCATTACAGACCACGACTACTCCTAGGCTGTTACTGGTTCTGTTTCCATATTGCTCTCATGCCAGCATGTAGCCAGGTTTCACAAAAGTATGTTGACAGTAAGCTTCTATTTTGAACTGGTGAACAAGGGACAGTCGAGTCTTGCCACACAGTTAGTGATGAAGACTGTACTTAACAGAACAACACTATTTAGAAAAGCTTACTTCACTTGGATGCACCTACACTAAATGTCATTGTCACCCGCCAGCTATAGTTTGGGATGAGAGTAATATGGTCACAATAATGTACATACTGTGGAATAACTTCTGCATTGTTTTTAGCAGTGTTGCTGGCTGATTCCTGTAAACAAAAAAAAAGCAATGTAAGTTAGTCATTCCTGCTGGCCGGGAGTTGTTTTTATTGTATTTTTGACTATTATGAAGTTATTATTGCTTGTACAAGGTACATTAGCTTGTTGTTTTTTGTTCTCATCACTTCTGTTAGCATTACATTTGACAAGTACCGTTTGTAGGATAAGAGCTTTGTTCATATATATATATTTTTTATCACGTTTTGGAATGTTTTCATATTTAACTTTTGCTTAGGTGTCCACCTGTTCAATGCTATGTAGCTGCATTTGTAGCTGCGACTCTCACATGGAAAGCACACACTGAAATTTCGTAGAACCTTTTATCTTTTTGAGTGTTTTTCTGGCATATATATGTATATATCGATGCAGGAGAGTTAGATCCTTTTTTAAGTATTATTCAGATGCATCATTTGTTGTTTCGTGAAGGTCTGTAAATTTCAGACGTGTTCTCTATCTTTTATTCTTCTTCTCTTTTTTTTTCCCCCTTATAGAGGCGAAACTTGCATTTACTTTGCACTAAACGAAGTGGCTCAGGGTATACTATTACTTTTTACTTTTTATTCGTGGCAGCAAGTGATGCATATGTATCAGTATAGAAGGGATAAATGGGCACTGTTCTAACTACTAATTAAACATTGGGGATGACTTACAGCAACTAACATAAAGGCTTAAGCTAAAGTCTGACAGCATTGGCCTAGCGAGTGTTCTGTCATGAATAGGTCTTGACACAGCAGTTGAGTGCTGCTGTGTCAAATGAGAGCAGCAATGTTAGTTGTTTGGAGGCAAGTTACTTGTAGCATTGTGTTGCAAACAAGATGGTATGCAAAGTTTGTTTGCAGAGTCATGTTATTTTGTCACACACCTGCATGTGGTACAAATTTGTTTTTTTTTTTTCTAAGTGTGTTCAATAAAAACCATTTGTCGTTTCAGCCTGTTATCTTTTCGCTATGTACTACCAATATATTTTCCTTTACTGGTAGTCATTTTTTTTTCTCTATCTCTCATATTGTCACGTAATTACGTGTGTCGTTCCATGCCCGTAGCAATATGTTTCCAAGTCTTAATGCTAAAAACAAATGACATATCATAGGTCATGATACATAGGCTTATTTATGGGAAGTTTTGCACATGCTACAAAAAGTGCTGCAATGGACAGTTCTCAGATAATTTTGACCGGCTTCATTGCTTGCACCCTTTTAATACAAGAGTGTTTCCGTAAACTCCTTTATCATTGTAAACCACACTGCTGGAAAGGAGTTCAGCTTCGTGAAAGACAGTGGCACTCATGTGTCTTTCTTCCTTTCCTGTCTTCATGTTTCAAGCATTGTGCCACAAATAACATGTTCAGAAAAAATGGTCACGAGATTATTGCTACGATAACCAAGGTTCTTTGTTATTCGTACATTGCAATTACATGAAGGTGCACATTCCAGGTGGATACTTGATAACAAAAAATGTATGGCCTCTCCACCATTGTAAAACCTGGAGAAGTGCTTAGCAATGGGCAACTAATCTCATTCATAAAGTTGCTACTGCACCGTTTACCAAAGCATCGATGTCACTTAAGTTTGAAGGTAAGCACATAGGGTTACCCCAGCACGAGTATAACCTTGTTAGTAAGGTTCGCGACGTGGTGTCCGACATGTGCGCAACTTTTTCCCAGCGTCTTATCGACTTGGCGCTAGTTATGTCAAATGAGATAGGCGTCGTCTGCAGAGAGTTCCGTCGGGGGGGGGGGGGGGGGGGTTCTCGTCAGACGCAGCGCCTGGGAAGCCTTCGGAGAGAGCATTTGCTCGCTCGGTGGCCTCTCGGGTGACCCCGGTGTTCGCCCTTGTTTCCCAACTGTCTATTAATCTCCGCGGACACGTTTTACTATTTCTGTTGATTATATATTTGACAACGTTCGTTCACTTTAACCCGGTTTTGAGCGTTGCTCGCCTGAGAGCGTGATGAAATGTATGCTACGTAAAATGCATGAATGGACATAGAGTTTTCTATAAATAGAATGCACGACAAGGCATGCTCCTGAAGTGCTCGCTTCGCTAATACGCTTTGCTTATTCCTAGATCAGTGCCCAGACGCTATCTGCGACGTGTCTTGTCGCCGTTTCTTGTCACCATTTGCGTGTAGTAATGTGGGATGATCTATTCGTTGACGAAGGATCAAAAAATCTTCATAGTAAACTAGTGAGGTGCGTTTTGCGTAGAGTTACTTCGGATATCGCGGAATATTTTTATTCGCTCCACTTGAGTCATGCCAATCATGCCACCTCCGAGTGCCTTTGAGCGACGCTGCCCTGCCTATAATTGTGCTTTTTAGTCATCCTATGACCTTAAACAGATAAAAATGAGTTACAAAATGCAGGACGAAGTTGTGTTACGATTCATTGCATTCATCACGAATAGTTGCGGTGCTTTAGTTTCAAATTTAGGTCGCAGACATCGACACCATCGACACTGTATGTAAAACTTACAAACCCCCCAAGAACGCGTCGAAAAAATTGGCTTCAGTCATTTTAAAGTGCATGCCGCTGAGACGTTTTGGGCAAACTTCTTTCTTGTTGATCAAATTTAATGTTCTCGATTTTTTTTTCTAGTGGTGACCCAAAGATGCGAAACTGCGGTGCAGCGTTACAGCAAGGTTTATTTTCATCTAAAAAACAAAATGAAAACAAGTGTGCCACAAGTGCCTTTCGGTGGTTTTGAAAAGTTTCCAATTGAAACGTGCGAATTCGCTTGGCGCCTGTCGGGCGTTTTAAGTGTCCAACTTTGAACGTCCAGCGCTTGTCTTGACGTTGCGTGCCCGTCTCGGCGTTCTCCTCGACGTTTTGGTCGACGTTCTCGGCGTAAGTCATTGACGTCTGCACACGCAGCTTCTCCTCTTGCACCTGAAAGAAGGCGTCTCTCCCGAGGGAGGCTGCCGCCGCGTGCTCTCACGCGCCCCTGATTCGATGCGACAACACCGCTGATCCTTACTTACCGCTGCTACGATAAGTGTAGAAGCGCGTCGACTCGCCTGTTGCGCGGTGCCATCGTAACGGTGACCTCGGTGGCACCCGCTTCGTATACACGCCGTGGATGTTCTTTAGACGCTCTCATAGAGAAATAAAAGGTGAAGAGCGGACACTCCCGTAGACCCCAGCGGCCCAATCAACCCTAGCACACCTGGTGGTTGGTGAGAGCAAGTGGCGTGCACTTCCTGTTTCGGTTTCACTGGCGCAAATTTTGAATAATTATTTTTTTTTAATTTTATTTCGATTAAGTTATTATAAAGAGAGATGCAGGTAGTGATAATTCACTACGATTTTATTCATCGCGCTTGTTCTTGTTCTTTTGTTCACTTGTTCTTTTGGAACAAGTGATCAATGTATATATCAGTCAAAGAGACAGAGTATCCGCAATGTTTTATTCAAAGGCAAGGTAGAGTCTGAGAATATAAAAAGCACAATATGACAAAGGTAGACAACAAATGCATCTCGCCTTACAAATAAATTGTAACAAATATTGTAACAAATACAGAGAGAACACAGACAACGCACACATTGCTAGAGTTGGCAGAAGCCGAGAAGCTGGTGAAGTATGACACACCGGGCCCGTGGGTAAGTAAGGATCTATGGCAAAAACACAGCGCACAATGCTGAAGAAGAAGGAAGAAGTGACATATACACAGCAATGAAGTAGCGAATCACGCCTGGGGTTAACCAAAATAATGCATAGAAAAAAGAGTGCACAGAAACCACACGACACAATATAGCAGAAAGGCAAAGCTGCAGTGTGCTGGCTGTGCTTAAGAACAGCTAGCCCAAAATGAAAAAAAAAGCAGACTTGATGCCTGCTTGTCCTCAGAAATGTAGGGCTTTGCAGCTTGCTCACTACGTGAAAGACAAACTTTATGCTAAACACTGGCAGGTCTTGTGGCTCTTCTTATCATCAAAAACTTAAGATTCCAAGTGATTTGCGTCTGGGTGTTGCTGTGACGCTTGCGAGCTAAAATAGATTGTAGTCATCACTTATCCAGAATTGTGGACCTTAATTGTTGTTACGAGAGCGGTATTACAGGGCTAATAAACAGCAGAAGGAAACCACTTTGGCTCATTATTTTCACAAAGGCTCTACATCGTACGTTATCACTCACAAGCTATATAAAAATAAAATGGCAGCGTCCGCAGCCCCGTCAAACGCTACAAGTTTGGGTATTCTTTTGAAAATTTTGGTGGGTGAGATGAGGAGGTTGATGAGAAGCTAAAATACAAAAAGCGTGATAACGTGAACTGTGCCCACTTCATACTGTGTTCCTTACCCGCTCGAAGACATTTCAACAAGCGGTTTTGTTATCGATATATTACTTGAGCTGGAGAGATAAAGCATACACAGTGACCAAGCGACCCACAGTAAAGTGTACAGTTCGCCCGCATTTGCTACAAAAATACAGACAGGATACCCAACACTCTTTTTAAGGTTATGCAAATCACTTCGAGCGAATACACAGTGTCCCTACTCCTCATAGCGGGTAACCAAAACAATGTATGCAACGAATGAGTGGTTAGTTTGGTGAGGCTGTCTCCGCAGTCTTTTGATAGTTTTCCGCTGTGCTGCTACTTTGGCTTGCAGATGTTTAATGGTTTGCTTGTACTTCATTGATGGAGACATTGTCGCTGGCACACAGGAACGCACTGCAATAAACAAAAAAATGGATGTAAAAGCGAAGAACAACTAATCCCATACGAGCACTTTCCTCGCTCTTTCAGACCCAAAGTGCACAACTTTCTGTGGTGCAAAGTTTTCGATTCCACTACCTAAAAACAAACCATTCACAATGTTGACAATGCACAAAAAAATGAAAATCACTGAGAGCCCACCCTTACATTTTGTAAGTGCACACGTAGTGTCATTTTGAGGATAGTTTCCTCAGAATGTCCTAAACATAAAATAGCACATTAAAAACAGCTGCAATAAAAGCATAGTCACCATTTTCTCTAGGGCACTCAGACGTGGAGCTGTTGGCGGAGACATCTTCTGGAGGGTCTTGTGAAGCTTGTTCGGTGCCTTAGACAGTGCTGTCGGAACAATCTTGCGAGCGGCCTGCGGAACCAACAAACCCCTTTGAATGATTAGCTAATCGATGCACAATACAAAACCAGTGATACATCTCTGACCCATAAAACTCTGACTTGCAAAGATATACGTCAAGACCACGTACAAAGATCTTCAGAAGTTTCCAGGCCGCTATCCCTTGTAATGCAATGGTATCGCGGCCTGGGAACTTTAGAACACCTTCATGCGTACGCAGTATCAGCACAGTACATTGGGAAGAAAAATCGTAGTTAAAATTTGTGCGGTAAAAGTATATTGGAAACGTCAAAAAATTTGTGGGCAGCTTGCACTAGTGGCACAAGGCTAGCGAAGAAACGAAGATAATGGCCACTTGGCTAGTCCAGATTTGCCTCCGGCACACCAAGAATTATTCGTGTTGCGAGCCTTCGGGAAACGTGTCGTGAAGCATGCGAGGCCCAGCGAACGCTTCTCAATATTTTGCACCGAGCCACCGAGCCTATGACCTAGCTGCCCAGCTATGCTCAGCCTACAGACGCTCGCGTCCGTGGCAGACGCAGCACGCGTCGCCTCGGCTTGACGCCGTGCCGCCTTTGCTATACTGCATACGTTGCACAATGTTCCCGTCTAGCCGCCGCATAGAGCCACAAACTTTCTTTTTAGCGAACCTCCCAGTCCTTACAAGCTTCAGAAAAAGGTTACAACTGCTTGAATGAGACGCCACGTAAGAAACAAACTCGCACACACGAAGCGCAACGTGTGTGTGTGCATCTTTCTATGTTTGTTTCATGGTGTCTTATTCGCACAGGTGTAACCGTTTTCTGAAAAAAAAATGACCGAACAAGACCAACAACAGGTCATTCAACAAGCTTCGCTTGAAAACGTGCCTCACCTGTTATCTCACGCACGAAAACACCGACGCAGCCGACGTTGTCGAAAGCGACGAAAGCTTCTCGCTGCCAGTCATGCATGGGCTTGTCGCTGGGTGGATGGTGTTTATGACAGTATGACTGAAGAAAAATAATCACGTAAGGTGTGTTGAATAAATTGTTTTTATGTATAAAGAACATACCTAATTCGGGCGTATAATTATTATTTTGTGAAAACAATTTTGTTTCATTGATTATAACTGTTTTTTTTTTGCGCTTGCGCCCTCTGACGTTTGATGAGAGCACTAGCTGGTTACGTAATCGTGACGCACTTCCTGAGGCCAGGTTTCGCGGAGTGTCCTCTCTTGTCTTCTTCTTTCTCTATGACGCTCTCGCTAGGATGGCAGTTTCACTCCGCTTCACGGCAAAACACGTTCTTCATCATTGCGACACGTTTGTGGACGTTTAGCGAGCGGTGCTTGTAAATCGTAATGCAGTCCGTACCCCAGCGCACGGACTGTAGGACTTTTTTTTACGCTCGCGTACGTACACCGTAGATATGTCATGTTAGTGAGTGACGCCGACTGACAGGTGCATCGGTAACATGACTCATAATTAAGTGTCGGTAGTTTCCATTTTTTATTCGCCAGCCTGTTGCATGAAATTCAGTTGGCTAACGAGCGACGGACGGGACTGCCTTTTCGTGTACAACTAAACAGATAAACATCGCTTGCTGATATGGATTGCTTGCAGATATGCATTGCCTGCAGATATACACTGTTTGCATTGTTTGGTTGCTATCGAGCACCCCAGGGAAAACGCACTACTCTAGTTCTGAGAACTTATTCGGTGTATGGTGTTGTGCTGGCAGTGTACTACAGTGCTGTGACTTCTTGTGCAGCTAGTTATAAATGTATATCGATTATTATTTCATCTAAAGGAGAGAATGAGGCGCGGTAAAATGCGTAAAGATGTAGATTCGGTCTTCATGTAGCATTTCTTTTAACGTCAGTATGTTGGTTTGCGTCCAGTAAAGCATTTAAAGGTTTTTAAGCACTTACCGGTACTTCTGTAGCCTCCTTGTACTTGTTGCACGCATCTTTCATTCTAAATGTCATGTCGTACGAATTAGAACAACATCAAGCTCTCATTCAGTTCAAAACGACGCCGCTCCTTCATTGGATTAAATGTATTCGTCAACATTGGGCAGCAGTTTTTGGAGTGCATATACAGTTAACAAACGCTGAGTTTGCTTGCTGCTTTTTTTATTCATGATGTTCAGCATGTTCAAGGGTGTTACATAGTTCAGTTCTCCCACGCATGCATGCTTCTGAAACTCATTGCACTCTTGTGCTGAGGAAATTTCGTGTCCCTATATACATTCCAGCACCTAGTTTCCTTGATACTTACAATGGTGGCATTGACATGCATTTACATCATTTTAATTGCTTAGTTACTAACCCAATGCGAGTTCAGTTAAATTAATAATGAAAGAGAACACTTATAATGGCTCATCAATATTGCAGTCTTTGAGGGGCAGTACCATTGATGCATGCTTTTTGTAAGCTGTTATTTATCCGGCATAGTTCTTCTAGAATTGTGATTTGTTGTCAATCTTCTACATTTCTTGCTTATCTTGTATTGATTGATATATGGGGTTTAACGTCCCAAAACCACCATATGATTATGAGAGGTGCCGTAGTGGAGGGCTCCGGAAATTTCGACCACCTGGGGTTCTTTGACGTGCACCCAAATCTGAGCTTATCTTGTATGGCTGACACATCAGTATAGTGTATATTTTGCTTATTAATCATTAGCCTTTTTTTCACACAACTAAATAGCATATGCAAATCAGTTCAGCTGACACTCGCAGGTGGCGGAAGGGCTAAGGAAAGTAAAATAGACAACCACCCTTTCGTGGCACGAAGCCATAAGGAATTCCCATCTTCCTAGAGTGACCACCCAGGAAAGGCGCTGATCCCGGGTTCGATCCTCGGACCAGGACAAATATTTTGGCAACTAAGAGGCTTTCTTTTGTGACTTTGTGCCACAACCGGGTGGTTGTCTATTTTTTCTTTCTTCGTCTTTTCTAAGTAGTATCTGCATGAACCACATCATATTAAAATCGTATGTAAGGCTAGTCCACGAAAAGATAGCATGTGCAGTCAGTTTGGTAGGTAAACAAGCATGATGTTTGTTTACATGCAGAATACATATGTTACTAGTAGAGATCATGGAAGACCTGGCATCTCGCCTTCTGCAGGTAAAAGAAAGAAGGATGTTTTTCTAAACATAAGTACTGAAGTTATGACAACAGGTGAAGCATAGAACATAGAAATAAGTAACAGCATAGGAAATGTTCTTGTATACTGCACTTTCTAGGATCTGTAGCCCTACAAATGAAATTCACTGAAGTATAGTTTTAGGGAAGAGACCAATAAGTGGACTTTCAATGTATATGAAAGAGAGGGATGTGAGTCTTATAACCGAACTTCATTTGGCAAGCACCCCTGAGTTTCTAGCTGGTAATGTATGGTTGAAAGTTGGAGACCTCGAGAAAATATTGGAGATAACAGTTTGATTTATTTTTTAGTTTTGATAGTACTGGCTTATAGTTTAGAGAGTTCGGTGAACTGCCTAGTGAGCACTCATGTTGGTCATAAAAGATCAGCTTTGGCAATCCTTGAAATCAAAGGTGATGAAGTTAAATCTTGCTTGTCTCGGTTATGTTATGCAAGTTATCAGTTCAATGGAGTGAAAATTAGTGTAAGCAATTAGTGGTAGGTTTAAGAAAAAGGGGCCATTCATACAGAAAATGTATATTATATGGTACTCTAGAGGCCACAGGAAAACATTGTGAGGAATGAAGTGAAAGATAGGATGCGAACTCACAACCCACTTTATTCTCAGAGGAATCAGCATGTGCTGAGAAAAATTATGCATCACAATTACAATAGGCTACACTAGAATAAACAACCTTTAAGTATACATTCAGCATAACACATTTATAGAAATCACACATATCTCTTTTATTTTATTTTTATTTTTACTCTCTTCAATGTGATTTGCATCCAGCATTTGATGCATTAAGACATATTTGCTGCTGTGGAAGATGCTAATATTAGAAAATTTCACCTCACGTTCAGCACTTAACGTAGGGAAATGTAGTGGAAGTTTGCGTTAATAATACTTTGTCCTTTTGTCCATGTCTGTTCATTCTGCATCTTATTTACTCATTATGAAAACTGGCTTGTATTGAAATAGAGGTAGGAACAATGAATAATTAGTATGGATGGGATTTTCATTTACCCTGACATTTATGACCAGCTATTTATAAGTGCACTGGCAAAACATAAACGACTCATTTTTAAGAAAAAAAGTCGCACAGTATCTTACGCATTCAATGACAGAGAGCTGCTTTGCTTCGGGAATAGGTATGTTTTACAATCACAACTCTGTTACTGCAGTCAGAGAAGGTGAATGCCTTACTGTTCTTCCACAGACTTATTAATGAAAACAAAAAATCGAGCCCAATGTATTCACAAAATTTTTTTACACAACAGGAGGGTCTGCTATAACTCGTCCTTTATATATATATATATATATTTCAGAATCGAGTAGCACAACTACTGCTAGACCTTGTATGCTTTACAGCTTACAAGCTTTGCAAAGTTTCGAAGTTTCTTTTTGAGTTGTTTTTCTTTCTATTGGAACTTGTATAGCTACTGCCAGGGAAGTCTTGAGGAAATGCAAGTGGTGCCTCTCTTTGCCTTCATGTGCTTGCATGCTGCCTTTGTGTGCCGTGGTTTCCTTCAGTGTTAATGTTGACTCGCAGCATCCTTGGGTGCATAACGTGTGGAATCCACTTCCAAGAAATGTGCCAGGATGCACGAGCTGCTGGCACAAGTTCTGGAGAATCGAGACCTGTCACGTGCAGGTGACCTGTTCTCTGTGGAGGACCAGAAGATTGTGGGTGACCTGTCAGAGGTGCTGACCAAGATTCGTGACATTGCCAGTGGGTCAGACTTTCTTCACAGCGACAACATCCAAAGTGTGGTTGAGATATGCATCACCAGGGTCACATCAGCCATCAGGTAAGAAAAACTTGCACGTTGCCAGCAATCATAAGCTATAGGTCCGATTGATATGTGGGGTTTAACGTCCCAAAACCACTATATGATTATGAGAGACGCCAGCTATAGGTCCGGTTAATGGGTGTATTCTCAGAGCATGTGCGTAAATTGAGCTTAAGGGTAGACACTGTAGTGACACGTATCCCCCCACGTTGGGCGCCAGTGTAGTGACCCGTATCCCAAAGGAGTACGGCCACTAGCGTGGATCCGGTTTTAGCAAGCCGCAGGGCACGCGTTAACCATCGGCGTGGCGAGAACACGATACTGCTCAAAGTCAAAACACTTTATTGTCTGTGGCAACACCAAAACGCAGTACAGCCCGTTGCAAAGGCGCGGCGGAAAAGCAAATGGGCTTACCCACGCCACAGGCATAAAAGTACTACACAGGGTGCCACGAGCTCGTCTCCGTGTTAAAGGTGATTCACGGAGACACCGGGACCAAGGCCCGGTTGCTCGAGCGAGGGCAAAGGCGCTCGCGTTGGCTTCGGAGGGAGACGGGTCGGCGTAGCTAGGCCACGCACTAGGACACCGTACCACCCTTCGGCCTACTGTTCGGAAGGGGGGGGGGTGCCATAAGGTAAGCGTTCGCCGCGGGCGCTAGGCGCTGTTTGCGAAGTCCAAACGAGCCCCACAGGGAGCTGACGGGCGGGAAAGAAAAGCGTGTTTACCCCCATGTCGTCCCCAGAGAGGCCTCTCTCCACTCCCGACGCGAGCGCGCAAAGCCTCTCGGGAGACTCCGCGCGCGGCGCCACAGTCAACATTCGCTAGCGGGTGAGGGGTTAAACGTCACTCCGCTCTTCCTGTGCGGCAGACAGCGGAGGAGAGGAGACATGTCGGGACATGAGAACGGAGAAAGAGGCGGCAAAGCCCGCGCAAAGGCAGCGGGCCGACCTCAATTCCCACAACACACATCATTGCTTTGCTTTGCGAGTGTCCACAAAGCTAACTTTTTTTTATGCAGTTATGTACTTCGAGTTGGTCATTAGCTCACCCTCATGCTGCCAGTTACTAGCATCTTGGTTAGCTATATTGGTAGAGCAAACACACCAAAAGAAAAATCGTTGGCTCAAGGTTTGAAGATGGGACAAGTTTGAATTTTTTGTAAACTAGAAACAGCGGAAGTTGTTACAAGACAACAGCAGCCATTTATGGCTCCGTAGTTGTCTTTATGACTCCGTAGTTGTCTTCTGCCACAGTCACGGGTGTTCGTAACCGCTATTGCAGAAAATAAGAAAAAACAATCACTGCATATTTACGGAGTGAATGATGATGAGTGAGGCGAAGCGTCCGTCAGCCCGTCCGTGCTTCCGTCTGTCCGGTTGTTCTTGCTTTTGTCCGTCCGCACGACCATCCATGCGTCCATTCATGCGTCCGTCCGTGAGTCCGTCCATTCATCTGTCTGTCTGTTCGTGCATCCATCCATCCATCCGTCTGCGCCAAGCTTATAAGCACCTTTGCAAACAGACCCTACACAGTCTTCATGTAGTGGAAGGAATCACGTTAACATGTGTAATATACCAGTTTAAAAGAGTATAATGAGAACTAGGTGTCACACAATGCAAATTGCATAATGAGTGTGTCGTTGAGTGCTTCGAACCCACTACAAGGACCCAGCATAATTCATCACCATCATCAGCCAAACTATCAACAATGTGCACTAATGCCTTACAGATGTGCAGCGGGCACCTCGCTTCTTCACAGAATAATGAATGATGGCATAGTGGGTGCTTCCTTCTTCACGAAAATTACAAGGGTTTATCACGTAGTGGGTGCCATGCAGTTGTACTGTAGAAGTTGCCCCGAGAGAGTTCACGAAAATTGGAGGACGCTTGACCGTCGTCCTCAAGAGCAGATTGCGATAGCACAATAGGGACACATGTGCATATACTTCTGAACTACCAGCCTTCTTCAGTTCCCGGCCTAAACTATGCCACTAGGGAGCGAACGACTGTGCACGTAACATTGGCTGTTTTGATGTATCATATGAGGCCTATTACAAGCACAGTTGTTAAGTGCCCTCTGCATCACAACTATTTCTTTTACGAATTACTGAAGCGCCCACTACGCATCTGTAGGGCAACATGCAAGCCTGAGCACTCTGTAAGGGGTTGGGCTTTAAATCACCCACTTACAGCTCAATTCAGATCGTTTGATGCCTGGCACAACTCTATGCTTCTGCCACACAATACTATATGACACGTTAAGGAGACTCCTTCCACTACATGGCATTCATAGGGTTTTTTCCAAAGCAGTTTCAACAAATATTGGTGCTCAGTGGTAGAACACCTGCTTGCCGCGGATGGCCTGGATTCAATCCTCACTCAGACTCAGAAATTTTTAGTATGTATTATATTTGCATCTTTTTCAATCTTCGGGACAAGATGATTATTTTTCTCTCACAACCAACAACAACCATGTCGATGCCAGAGTTTCTGCGGAACGAGCTTTTTAACACTGTCACATTAAAAGGTTTTGTAAGGGCCACTCTTGCACCTTTTGCTGTTACAATCCTGCATGTTCCATGCAGGCCTGGCATCTTTTTTATAAGCAAAGATTCTTTATTATATTTGCATCTTTTTCGATCTTCAGGACAAGATGATTATTTTTCGCTCACAACCAACAGCAACCATGTCGATGCCAGAGTTTCTGCGGAACGAGCTCTTTAACACTGTCGCATTAAAAGGTTTTGCGAGGGCCGCTCTTACACCTTTTGTTGTTACAATCCTGCAGGTTCCATGCAAGACTGGCATCTTTTTTATGGGCTAAGAGTCTTCGGGTGCGGGTTGTTCCCTCCTCTGTAATAGTATGTTGTAGTAGCCACTTCTAGTTAGTTTTACGAATTGCTCACTAGACGGCTTCGTGTGTATATGTCCTTAGAAATAATATGACTAGGTGGAATTAGTTTTTTTTTTTGTATAGTTGATTATTAAAGAGGATGGATGACACTTTTATAAGAAATTCACAACTTATTCAGACAGTGAAAGATCATGAGTGGGGTGAAGTGTCCGTCCGTCCCCTCGCTCCACTCCGATGCGTGCTCTAGTGAGATAGGAGCGGATGGAGGCTTCGCCCCACTCATGATCATTCACTCCGTGGATATGCTGTGAATTTGTTTTTTGTTTTCTGAGATCTGTATGGATTTTTTATAGCTCTGTGCTACATGCACGTGGATGGCAGTTTTCCATTTCATAACCTTTCGCCTTGCGAGATTTTAAATGACGGTATTTTCATGGAATTGGTGACTTTGTTATAGCAAGGATCCCTTCAAATGTTGTGTTTACTTGAGAATGTAAACGATTCAAATTAATTTATGATGGCCATTTAAGCTGTTCAAGGTGGCTGAACAAAATTTGCGACTTCTTAAGAAGTCACGGAACTTTAGCGCTGCAGCATTTTTATTGCTTTCTTCCTGTTTGTAGGGACACTGGGACCATAGAGCAACATGCGCATGCCCTGGTTGCATTGTTGGAGTCTTGCTTAAACCACGATCTGCGTCCCTCACCAAAAGATGAGGATCCACCACACGCTAAGATTGCTTCTGACATCGTCAGCTGCATTTTTCTGGTATGTTGGGCTGCAGGTGGCGGGTGCAAAGCTAATTATGATAATTTTTTGACAGATTTGTAGGAAAGGTCATCATTTCTTGTGAAGGATTGTGTATATTTAGGTTTACTATGTCTGGCTTTCTTTTTTTTTCTTTTTTTTTTTCAAGTTCTTGCTAGTAGTTGCCAATAGTTTATTTTTATATATTTATATTGACTGGTATATAAAGGTGAACTGTACCTTTTCTTTATTTGTGGCAGAGCAATAGTAACTTTTATACAGCTGATAGAGGTTTACGCCATCTGTAAGAGGCAGAAATGACAGTCTGTTTTGAGCGCCCATGAAATGTGCCTTCATCATGTGTTACTCATGCCTTTTTCATCCTGTAATAATCGACTCAATGTGCTGCTTATGCAGAATCATAACAAGAAATCAGTTATGAAGCTGGCGCTTCCTGTGGCAATCAAGTTCCTGCACCGAGGGAACAAGGAACTGAGTCACAATCTTTCCCGCTATCTCTCGCTGGCTGCTGTGAACAATGCAGAGCTCCTGTCCCCACATGTGCAGCCCATTGTAGACAGCGTTATCAGTGGTACGTGCCTGGTTCACTTTCCCATGAAGATTATTCATTGTCAGCCTTGATAAAGCTTAATAATATGGATGCAAGTCCCATCTTTTCAACTATTTTACTACCGTAAGGCAGGGAAAAAACATGTCAAATTACCGCAATTTTTTTTTCTGAGCTTTTTCTTTATTGAATAATGGGGTTCTTTGACGAATTGCATGGAAAAAAAATAAAGCTCGAATGTGGCTTCATCGCATAGCAATACAATGAAAAAAATGGCAATAAAATGAAAGCCAAGAGACAGATAGTCCAATATGGTAAATCTTGGTAATTTTTTATAAAATTCCATGACTACACTCATCAACAGTAATAAAAAGGTTAAGGTCTTGTTAACAACGTAGGGGTAATTATGGCATCAGTGAATTAAATAAGTCATCTATATACTCCAGTACTTTCAGACACCCATGCTGCTTTTTACCTCATTTAATACTTTTTGTAAATATGACAGGGGTGATGGGACCAAGTTCAGTTGCTAAAAGCTCTCAAGAACTTCCATGGAAGGATTGGAAGGACTGATTATCAATGCACTTTTGCCAATTTCATCGTTAGCTTAGATCTCAGAATGTCCCTCCCGAGTTTCTTGGCACAGTGCCTGCCCTTGATTTGAAGCCTGCCAGGTCAGCCTCTGCACGTACACTCGGGAGCAAAAGTACTCAGACGATCGCTGTCTGGGTTGTTTCATGGCCGGCCATCTGCTGTGGAAAGCATTTAATTTACAAATTTTGTCCAAGTAATGCTCATGACAGTTACTCTGTCAAAGCAATGCTCTAGACTGCAGACGGCTTGCAACTAGACGGCATTGACAGGGATTTCAGTGCGTGCTTTCATGCTCCACATACTTTTGCTCACAGGTGTACTACATAGAGCAAAGGCTTAGACATAGCGTGTTTTTCTTTTCCTTGCTTTTTTTGTCTTTTTTTTTCTCGGGTTTTCAGGTATTGCATTTGGCTTTGCATATCCCTCAAAGCGTGCGTCTTGTAGCTCAGTGCTGCTGCTGAGACTAATTTGTGCTCTTCTTGCAATGATAAAGTGCCGTAATGTTTGTCTTCACCATGGCATTGTGTGATGCAGGTAACTATGCCCTTGCTCGAGTGCTGCCCTCCATCTATGTTGTGAAGAAAGAGCCCATCCATGACCACCTCATGGCACTCATATCATTGCTGCCCTTGTGTGAGAGCTCCGACAAGCTCAACCTGCTCGCCCTCTTTGAGTTGGTGGCCAAGCACAAGCCCTCTGTGAGTTTTACGCGTCTGTATGCAGTCTGTGAACCAGTTTATTAATGTATAGCCTTCTTAAGGCTCGCATTCACCTGTGACTTGCACCCTTGCACCGGGGGTGCTACAATGTTACTTTTCGCGATGTGATTTGTCGCAAATGAATGCCTTTGTCACAAAGCAATTACTTTGGTTTCGTCGCTCACTACTTGATTTCATAGTCTCTCGACTGCAGTCACACCCCTCTGAACTGATCAGATGTGCAGAAAAATGGAAGATAAACTTAGGGGGGGGGGGGGGGGGGGCAATGCAAGGAGACGTGAATTTTGTGTGACAACAGGTGTAAGTCGCACACTGGTGCGAACATCGGTTGCCTTGAGTCGCTTTTTGGTCACTATTTGCGAGTGGTCGTGCAACAAGTGCCAGTCGTGGGAGTAACTGAGCACCTTTAGGAAAAGGGTGTCATCTGCGTGGCATGAACTTATGTCATCTGGCAAAGTAAGCCTGCTTGGAAATCACAAAACTTGAAAAAGCACTGCACACTTACAAAATTTTCATAATGGACTGCATAGAAAATTGAGTGCACACAAGTTGGAAAACTATACTAGTGTAATGGGACTCTGCATTGCGAAATTCCACACCCATATTGCTTGATTTTGAGAGCAATAATAAAGTAGGGAAAACTGAGCGAGTTTGTATTCGCTCATGTCAAATAACTACAGTGATTCAAAGATAAGTAAAAACATAGATGCCGTGTAAAACAGCATGTTTGTGTTGCTTCTTTTAGCTTTGCTTTTAGTGCACTGGTGTTATTGAATGGAGTAATGCGGCTGTACTGCAAAATATGCATAGTGTAGTATTAAAACACTCAAATAGGGATCAGTGGGGGTGGAAGTTCTAGATTACGTATGGAATGATTTCAACCTCAGTGGATATACTACGTTGTAAGTGCTCTATCATTTGCTTACTATTCACTGCTCCTCCACACTAGGGACAGTATGTCTCTCGGCTTTCACAGTGCCACACGTCTTTAGTTATTGTCAGTGCATGTTTCTTCTATATTCTCTTCCCTTGGTTTGAAGAAAGAAGTGTACAATTAAGAGCTTTGCTAAACTGTACTGAAACAAAATGATTTTTTTGTGAAAGCACCATAGCTGTATTTTTCTGCTGCATTAGTGCAGGCATCATGGGAAACATTCTAGTCATGTACCACCATGTCAGCCATGTGCTGAGTCTACTCAAGAGCAAACATGGATATGGTTCCGTTGTGCTTAAAAGTTGTTTGTGGGTTCGGCATCATTTTAGGAGCTACAATGTTGTGAAAACAGTATGGATGAAAATGTGTTATGCTCTTGCACCAACAGATTGGCGTGCACACAGTATTTTTCCCTGCTTTTTCTTTATCACCACTTGTGATGCTGTTAAACTTGTGTACCGCATGAGAGAAAGTTGTATAGCTTGACCAGCTTTGTGTGTTGTTGGGTGCATCTTTACAAGTCAGTGGCATTTGCTCCTCAAAGGCAGGCCTATTGGTGTGTTTACAAGCCTCCACAATCTGTGTGCACTTTGAATTGACTTGGTAGTCACACTTAATGACTCTGCTTTTAAGAACATTGCTGAGCACGTGAGCACGACTTCTTCTTTAGTCACAAAGGCGATAAACTGCCGCACATCGATCATTTGGGTGGGGGCTCGCCTGACCCAACTACAGCAGACTTTCAGTAAATAAAAATCTGTTTAACAAAACTGCTGCTTAAATAGAACAACAACTTCTGATATAATTGGTCTTGTCCTTGCATACTGCACCGCTGTTCATTTCTCAATAAATGAAACTCCTGTTAAATGGAGCACATTTTCCCAGTTCCTTCAGGTTCCATTTAATGAGAGTCTACTGTATAGGTGCATGTTGCTTAACTGCCTTGTACTTGTGCACCTTTTTTTCTTCAGTTGCTGGAGAGCAATGTGCCCCAGCTGAGCAGTTGTCTAGGCAGTCCGACTACAACAGGCTCAGTGCTGAAGATCTTCCAAGAACTGGCAGCGGCTAAGCCCCAGCTGTTTGCTGAGTATTTGCCCAAGATGAAGGCGGTGGCCCTAGCTCAACCGGTCCATCTCACCCTGGTGGCGCACATCATGGCTACTGTGGGACGGCTGAGTGCAGTCAGTGTTATTTTGGTTTTACACTGCGCTGTTTATTTCTATTTATCCCACTCTATTCATGCAGCATGGTTGCATAGACAGCTGGAAGACACAAGTTCATCTTGTAATTGTTTTTAAATTTATACAGTTGTCCAACATTTATTTATAAAAACATATATCTTTTTCTAGACGACCACTCAGTTCTCTCCTCAGCTCAACATTGTTCAACCAATCAGTTTATTATTATTACGAAGAAAGGAATGGTAAAGAATGTAAAATATACAGACTATGGTCCCAAAGTGCTAAGCTGCAATGGGACCCTCAAGTATACTGCAGTGGGGCCCTTTTTTCTATAGCAATGCGATTAGTTGAAACATCCCATCACTAAGCTTTACTCTTTAATAACCGGTTTCAAATACATACTGTTCAGCTCTGTTTTAGGAGGGAATTTAGTAAAATTTCTCATTCTTAACTGCCTGCATATGTATCTTATAAGCAGTGTATATTCTTTTAATGAATATTCTACATGAAAGCTGCTTGTTAATGTGGACTCGGGTGTCCCCAAGGTCTGTGTGCTGTGACCTTTTCTTCCTCCTTTTTATAAGTGATAGTGTGACTGACTGCAGTTTTAAAATAAAGATTATGAAAACTGTATGGAGTTCGTGTGCCAACTTCAGTCAAAGCTCGTTAAGATGTTCCCGCTTCAAACATACTAACAGTTAAAACATAGTTGCGACAAAGCCCCGACCGCGTTCCATAAAGATTAGTGCATTCTGTGGCTGCTTAAGCCGTAGTGGTTTGTCCTACGCCTACCAGTTAGTGCATACAACCTGCGCACAGTGATCACTTTTTCTGCCATAAAAGTTTACTGCTCGACTAAACTTTCGATGCCGCAACGTGCCACACGGTTTTCGTCGTCTAGAAAGGTGCAGTGATCGGCCAATCAATTATTCCGATGTCCACGCGATTACAATGGTGCCTTTTCGGGTAATCATCAGTAAACAGCGGAGGCGTAGTGGTGACCATAGACAAATGCGCCGGTATGACTTATCGTTGACAAAAAGCTTTATCACACTAAGTATCCTCAGTAATCCAATGGGGTACACGTGTGGCGTAGCACCACTTTAAGCCTACTGCACGCGTTTAATAGGAGACTACCTGAATGCGTTGGACTGCCTATCGCTGCAGCCTCTTTGTTCGGGACTGTAATCATGCATGCACCACGTTTCCAGAAACGAAAGCAGCTCGCTATTGTGTAGTTGAGCATTGCAGGTTGTGAGCACAGAGAAACTCTGCTGTATTGATGGTATCGCGCTAAGTGCGCACGTACGGCACAATAAGCGTAGAGCTATTGTAGCCATATTGCATGCTTTTATTAGGCGACAGCCCAAACGCACCTCTATCCGCTGTCAGGACTGTTATAGCATCGCGGAGTGCGCATCACTTGCAAAGGCTTGTCATTGCCGCAGTAACCCAACAGGCTACTTGCCGCATATATGTGCATTTTGAACTGAAGTGAACTTATTGTACACTAAGTGGCTCGCCTATCACTGCAAATAGGCAAACTGCTGCACACAACTAGCCAGTGGACGATTGCCTGCATGCAATCGTACTGCGGTAAAAAAAGAAGAAAAACCGTTAATTTTTTCTAAGTATGCAGATTGCAGTACGCATGTATTGCGGACAGCCGATTTCATTAATTTTTCTGATGTATCAGTCGCTGCGTATACCGGGCACACATCCCACACACTGCTGTGTAGCTTCGAAATGCTCATTGGCATCATCATCGCATGCTATCGGTCTGTTATGTGGAAGTGTGAGAATATTTTCTGCACTTGGATAAAAAGAAAGAGCTTTGTGATTGGCAGTGTAGGCAAATGCTTTGCCCCTGTACTTATTCCATTGTTGGCTGCGATGGCGCATGTCAGAAGATGCGAATTTGTACTTGCTAGTTAATGCGTACTACGGTTAGTGTGTAGTTATTCCGCGTTCCCCGGTAGGTTTGTATTAACGAGGTTTCACTGTGTTACGTTTCCAGAAACCAACATGCTCAGCATGTACGAAGGTAACAAGTCTCTGTCTGAGAACCTTTTCGAAGCTGATGTAGTCAATCGGAGTCACGCGTTTTCTCGAATGCAGGAGCGTGCCCAGGAGTGCTTGGAGTTTCTGGTCAGCCAGCTGTCCAAAGGGGACCACAACACACAGCTGGCCCTGCTGCGAGAAGCCAAGCACCTGGGAGATGCCTTCCCTGCACTGCTTGCCCCTTGCTTGCCACAGGTACCCACTTGAGATGTCTCACACTCTCACCAATTGTAAGCATAGCCACAGCACAGCTAAGTCTCCAAGTGCTTCACAAATTGATTAATTTTATTGGTAAGAAATAACTAGTCTTTAAATTGGTGCTGACACGAAAGTTTGCACTTAATTGATTTTTTTTTTTTTTGTGCATCAAATGATGGGCCAAGTCCCCAAAGTGTAGGAAACGTACCAGTTAAGTGTGAGTGCGTCCCGAAAAAATTATTACAGCATACTTTTAAAAGCTGGTTTTGGTTCCGGCTGTACCCTGACGTTACGCCTCGGTGTGAGCAGCGCCACCAGGTGGAAGTATCTGCGCGCTCAAGTTTTCGTGACGTACCCTCGTCCACACGTTGCTTTTTTTAACAACTGCTTTGTATGCTGCGCGCCACGTGTGTGACAACTGTCACGGCAGGGGGGCACAACATTGGCTTGCCATCACTTTTAAGCTGCAGATGTTTTTTCGTCGACAATCTGAAGTTGGGCAGCAACTGGATTCTGCACATGCACGTGTCCGTAGTCAAGCGCAGCAAACAGAGTGAACTCCGCCTGGTTAGTGTCCACTTTCCGCCACGGCCCCGTTTGTTTCAGCACCGGATCGAACTGGAATCGGTGGAACTTGCACCATTTGCCCTCTGATAAGCGCATGTCTTGTATTCACGTGCACGTACACTATTTCAGACTGCTAGCTCGCTTTGTAGGTATGCTCAATCACAGTAGGGGCTTTTAGCTTGTATTGATACTTATTTACATTGACGTGTTACCGGATGCCGGTTTGCATTTATCGTTTCACCGGAACGCATGTTTTTCAACGTTTCAGCTCCCCGTACGTAAACATTTATGTATTTACGTAATCGTATGCCTTTACATTTTCGCACACCATAGATGCTAACTGCATTTAAACTATCCTCAACTCAGATAGGATTGAATCACCTCTCCGGCAAAATCACAAGACATTTCTTTATAGTGTACAGTATCCTCGTATGTGCAAAAGCGTGAAGAAATACAAGGTTACTGCCACAATAGTGTCGACACCTTGTCATACTTTGTGCAACCACAGTGATGAACATGTTGGCTTATGCTTAGTATTCTTTAGCTTAAAATTATTAATATGGTAACTCGTTTCTAATAACGCCACTGCGAGGTTTTTTACGCCAGATGTACCATGCACAATGTTTTTGCAATAACAATTTTGTGAATTCCTGGTTTATTTTGGTCCTGCTAGATGGCGCCACCTATCCAGCCGTCAGGAGTTCACACGTTCTTGATTTTCATGTTCTAGGCCATTCTAGCTATAGTATAATCGGCTGAAACTATGTCATTGCTATTGGTGCTTGCACTTCAGCTTATTTTGACTCGATAACTGGAGTCTCCACAATGTGGATATCACGAGTTCCTGCGAACGAAAGTGGATTTGTGAGATAGGGCCGCAAACGTAAGCCTTCATGTTTACGATCCAGAAAGACTGGCATATGCGCAGATTCTATTTGGTATTCATTAAGACGGTAACGTAAAAAAGTATCCGTACAAGCTAAAAACCCCTAGTGACCGCACGGCAGGAGCAGACGATTGATACGGTGACCCTCAAGCTGCTATTTCTTGTGCTTTGGTGCTTGATGTCATCATAACTTACCAGACCGTTGCGTGAAGTCACCAGGATTAGTACTGTAGCCTTTCGTCAAGTTAGTGTCGATGTCCGTAGGTGCGCCACGAGAAATTTGACTTTAATACCAAAAAAAAAATATCTTATCAGCATTTTCTAAGCGTCAAACTTGCTCAAAGCCGTCTCTGTATACAGGAGATTTGTATGGCAGAGTAAACTTGCCTCCAAAAAAAGGTGTCAGTACCCCTACTGATGCCTTTTTTCACAAGACATTAGTGGAAGCAGAAAGATTGTGGATTATAAACACTATCTTTGCAATGTGAATAGAATTTGTATGTTTAAGTTGTGTTTGAAGTTCACAAAAGCCGGCATGTAATATTGGTTAATGTAAAAGCCCTAGCACTGCACGAATTAGCCATTTAGACTGCTGTGCATAGTCTGCTCTTCCTTAGGCCTACCTCAATTCGTGCCTTAAACTACTGTGTGTATTTTATTAGGCATGGCGACTTGATTCTATGTTTATTACAAAAAATAAGAAGTCTGTGCTGAGAAGCAGCTAAGTAACTAGCGCAACCATGTTGAGCCGTGGCACATGCATGTAGCATGTACGAATGCACAGCAAATCACAGTGCATGAACATTAACTGCCGTCATGTACACCTACCACTGTTTTCCGCATGTGTTACGTCTGGGACTTTTTCAGCACTGCAGATAAAGAAATTATGATGAAAGATTTTTGACAGCTTTTTTCTCATTACCACTTTGTGATTAAACACCCCGACCGGTAAGCTTTTTGCTGCACTAAAGTAAACGGGTGCTGTAAAAATTGGTTGTCAGTTCCTTTTAAAATACACCATGGCAATGCTTCTTTTCTTTGGCTAAATTATTTGAACATCTGCAACCTATACTGCATTTACTCACATAATGAACGCACTTTTTTTCTTGAAAAATCAAAGCGATGTTTAGGGTGCGATTATTATGTGGGGGAAATGTTATGAAGACTTTTTCAAGATAAGCAACAAATGTCGTAATGCAAAAGCAAGTGTGGTCCCTTAGCCTTTTGCAATTAACATACGCGTACACTATTTGAAAACAGCTTCTTTGTTGCACTTCACTCATCTTTGGTAGATGAAGGCGCTATCTTCTGCAAGCTGTTCCTTCACTCTCTACACACTCCATGAAAGCGTTTCGCGGCTTTCTTTTTTTGCAATCATTTAACCGCAGCAGTGGCATCTGCTGTAACCTCGAGGGGCACCCCGAAGCGTGCACTACGAGGCACTTTGCCAACTTCGTGGTAACCACGCATGGCGAACACGCCGCCATCATTGACATTGTAGCAAGTAACCAACATTGCAGCGACCTGTACCACCGAAGCATCAAACCAGACCGTCGATAGCAAGATTAGCGACAAAATATGCAGCCGCCGCTCCGCTGTGCACATGAGCAGTTGCTGTAGAAAAGGTAGCCTTTATCTAGCGTTCCTTGAAGTATGAGCGGATAACAAGTATGAAGAGAAAATTGCAATTGAAGCGAGAATCTGGGGTGCTACCGGGTGCTGCCATGTTGCAGAAATCTTATCTTGGCGACAACTGATTTTTTCTAGTTATCTATAAACCTGCGACGCTGTGGCGACAAATGACACTTCGCGACAGCTATGGTTACAGCAAATCCTGTCGTCGTCGCTCAAAGATCGTGCGCATATGGTTGTGCCTCAAAGTTTCGTATTTGCAGGAAGTAACCATCGGTTGGTGCGGGAAGTTTTGTGACCTTCGCTGACTCTGTGCTTGTCAACTGCGATGTCTCACACTCGCACTATTCGTGAACCCCAGTGTGGCACACAGATGATTAAGAAATGCTGGGTATTTGCAGTGCACATATAGAAAGAAAAACAATACAGCGCGTGGTAGAGGGCAAAGGGGAGAGAGAGGGCCGAGGTCGCCAAGTGGGGGTCAGCGTAATAACAAAAAACGGAACATATTCTACGTGCATGGAGATGCCAGGTGTCGGTTAGTGGGACGGTTAGTGGGAATTCATTGTAGGGGGTGCATTTATTATGTGAGAGAAAAAAAAAAAGATGCAAATTTTGTTGACTGAAGTGAAGGGTGCAATTATTATACGAGTGCATTCATTACGTGAGTAAATACGGATTATCAAAGCAACCTTGGCACCCTGCAGGGCTGGTATAGTTTTTTTTTTTAACAGCGCACAGGTTTTTCAAATAGCAGCTGAGGTGGGCCCTGGTGATTGTGAGATATGGGGCAAATGATCATCATTATCATCATCAGCCTTACTATGCCCACTGCAGGACAAAGGCCTCTCCCGTGATCCGCCAATCAACCCAGTCTTGTGTTTCCTGCTGCCACGTTATACCTGCGAACTTTTTAATCTCATCGGCCCACCTAACTTTCTGTCTTCCCTTGCATTTTCCTTCTCTGGGAATCTAGTCAGTTACCGTTAATGACCAGCGGTTATCCTGCCTACGTGCTGTGTGCCTGGCCATTGGCCATTTCTTCTTCTTGATTTCAACTGTGATACCCTTATCCCCAGTTTGTTCCCTGACCCACTCTGCTCGCTTCTTGTTTTTTAAGGTTACACCTATCATTTTTCTTTCCATCGCTCACTGTGTTGTCATCAATTTAAGCTGAACCCTCATTGTAAGCCTCCAGGTTTCTCCTATGGGGAAAATACCAGAACAGAACCCGCAGGTTCAGGTGCCACCTGGCCTTGGAGGTGATGACCAAGGACTCTGCAGATATTTTAGGTTCAAATATCTATTGTCCAAGGGGCCTTTAAGTACTACTGGTTGGACAGTTGCGTGTGGCTGCTTTAGTGCTCAAAGTCGAAACAAATGTGTGGAAATTGAGATACACAGGTGCACAAGCTGTGTGTTGTGTCCATAAATAAATAATGTAAGTTCAGCAATTCAGCAGTGTCCGCATTGACCTGTTGTCCTCGTATAGTTTTGTGCCTTGTACAGTTGAACCCATTTATAAGAGATACCCACCGGGGAGCATTTCTCGTCACTTCCATGAGGGGTCTCTTATAAGCAAGGTACCGTGTTTCTGTTCTGATCAACCCCTATTTCAATCCAGGCATACCGGTTTCTCTAATACCAGTTTGTCTCTTACATGAGTGCCTCTTATAAAGGAGTTCGACTAATAATTCAGTAGTCTAGTAATAGCTGAATTGTGTTGCCAGGCTAAGTGTCTCTTCTGCTCTTTTCAGATTTGCAGTCAGCTACCTGAGCCTGTGGCATCATCCACAATCCGCTTTTATCTACACCAGCTAAAGGCAGATGCAGCCACAGCGGCCCACAGGTTTTCTTCTACATAACTTTATTAAATCTCTACTGGTATTGTACTGAATGTCCTATTAGCATTTAATTAATTGGCATTAGTAAAATCAAGACTGTATGAATGCTCCACCTGCATGGATCTAAGCCTGCCACGGAGGTGGAGTAGTTACAGTGCTTGGCTGCTGACTCTAGTGGCCTCATGTTCAATCCCAGCCACAGCAGTTGCATTTTGGTAGAGGTGAAATGCTCGAGGCCTATGCACTGTGCATTCTCTGTGCACGTAAAAGAACACTAGATGGTACGAAGTTCCGGAGCCCTCTACTACAGCATGCTTCATAATCATATCGTTTTGACACATGAAATCCCAGATATTGTTTTTGCATAAATCTTACAGGAGAGGCCACGTCCAATTGTACACTCTTAAAAGGGTCACTGAACAAAATAGTAAAATCAATTTAGATTTTATCTCCACTCCATAAAGCAACAAGGTCAGATGAAGTAAATGTGCTTCTGTTTATTGGTGATTTCCTGATTATTTAGCTGTGGAAAGTTTTTAAAGTTATTTGACTGAAAAGTATTCTGTGGCTGCCGTTCATTTCTTCATTCCTTTTTCATACCATCATGAAAGCAGCACACAGTGAATAATTTGAGAACCAGTTATGCATGCCGTATTTACACGATTGTAAGTCGACTCGAATGTAGGTTGACTCCCCTAGAATCGCGCTTCGGAGAAAGGAGGTAGGGGAAGAAGGAGCACATTTCATTAAAAGAAAAAAAAATATTTTTTGTCACACTGTTACAGTGATGTTCCGCACTACGCTGAAGAATTCCCATTTATAGACATGAAAATTCTCTATTTCGGAGATTTTTCTCTGAAAATGTTGACGAAATTCCCAGCGAAATTTCCTGCACAACAGTACTAATTTTCGCCCTCATCCACGCACACACACACTATAATTACACGTGTCTCACGTACTGGCGATTTTTGAAATCATGACTAGCTCCTCCACTGCGGCACAACAAAAGCATGACTTTATTAATTTATATACTGTTAGTCCACTGCACATTGTGGGCTTCAAGTCTAACACCAATGAAGAACTAGAAATCGCTCTATGTAAATATCAAACAAATCTCAAAGGCCATGCATGCTTGCGTGGTGCATGCGTCAGAACCGATTACAGCAGATGAAGGCACACTGTGACCGTTAATTATCGGTCGTCATGGGAGAATTTAAGCATTCCTGAAATTCCCTGCAATATCATGAAGATTCTCTTTTTTCCTTTGGCTCAAAATGACAGGCGAAAATTCCCCAAAAAAAAGGAAAATTTTCTGCACAGAACATCACTGCGCTGTAAAGCCAATGTGTGTGCCAAGGTGGCTTCACGGCAGTGCTTTAAAGCTGTACTGCTCTATAAAAGCTAGCTTTGTGCAAATACACGGGGATCATTCTTAGAAAGGCTTAAAGTACCCCTGACACCAAATTTCGAAACTCGAGATGCTTGTGTTGTCTGATAGTCCTGCATGCGAGGCCGCCTTTGACCAATTATTAGTGGCGAGCATTGCCTAGAAGATATATTAATTTGGTTTTTAAGTAAGCATGCGTGCTTATCGGACTATTCAGGTACAGTTGACATTTTCTGTGGTTTCACGTAGACTGGCTCCCTTTGCGACATTGGAGAGGTCAAGAACATTTGCGCGGCGCATACAATACCCTGAGCGGCATCTGGCAAGGACTATTTTTCATCATCTTTCTCACTCCGTTGTCCAGCTGCTCTCAAGATGGTTTAGGCTGCTTACGCCACGATTTTTTTTTTTTTTTTTTTCTGGGAGAAACACGCTCAAAGCACCCACATTGTTTCATTCTTCACCACCAAAACAGCGCGTTTCAGGGTCACCAAAGTTTAAGTGCACGTAGTCTCAGTCGCTGCTCCGCTGTGGGCCGCTAGTTTTTTATGGTATTTAGGCGGTCATTTCGAACTGACGCAATATCATTTTGAATTAACACTGCTAGCAATAATTATACGACGCGTTAGAGTATTTGCGATATAATTTTGGCATTATTAGATGCAAAGCTACTAATTACTGTAAAAACTTACAAACAATACCTTCGCAGTCAGGAGTAAAGGCTGAAACTAGTTTTCTATTCTAGGTCAACCTCCCAACTTCGGATTTCAAATTAAGACAAAGTTGGTCTCAGTCGGTACAGTCGTGTAAATACAGTCGAACCTCGATATATCGAACGGCGCGGCGATCGCGAAATAGTTCGATATATCCAGAATTCGATATAAAAAATCACGAAAAAAATTCATCAGCAGCTTGCTAAAAACGACCAACGAACCATCTAAGCGTGGTGCAGTAAATACTCACTTGAAGATTCAAACATAGTATTTATTCTGTTGGTTTAAAATATTGAAAAAGAGTAGCCTGCTTTTTGTTGGCCATGGCGTGTTTGACGACTGCGTCCTCAATATAGTCCAGGCGATCAGTAAGTGATAGGCCGGTGCCTTTAATCGCGCCGCACAAGGGCCAAGGCAGCTACGACCTCAGCTGATGTCGGGAGCGGGGCACCATCAGCGCTTGCGGGATCCACCTCAGCAGAGTCTTCATTTGGCTGCTCAGCAGTAGCTTCGGCGACAATCTCCACATCCGTGAGCTTCGCCGTTCGGAGTTAGGGCCTGTCGTGCACGACAGGCCTAACTCCGAACGCACGAACAACGCGAGCACAACGACCGCTGCCTGCCGATGCTACGAGGGGAGGAGCTTGCAACAAGTGCGCAGTGTGCCGTTTACACCATAGAGACTGCAACGACTGCAAGCTGCAAGGCTGGGGCATTAGTCCGGGTGTAAAGCGCGCACATGGCGCGCCCATGCCGGCTCGCCTGACTGCTTTCCCTTTCTCGGCGGCAGCGCGGGCCGCGTCCGAGACAGTCCTCTGCGTCTTTTCCCTCCAATACTTTCCTCATCAATCTTTACCTCCCACTCCCCCTTGCCCCGCGCGAAGCCGTGTCGGTGCCTTCGTATTGAAAGAAAATAACAGCTCCGCGCTTTTCTCTTCACTTTCCTCATTCAAGAACCTCTACCGCAAGGCTGCGGCGCGCGTACGCCGCTACGTTAAAGTGGCGCTCACGGCGCCATCGATGTGTGCAGCATTCGTAAACGCCCGCCGCTCTACTGCTACTTTCGAGAGTTGCGGGAAAGCTCGCCGCCTGTCAATGGAGCGCAGGCAGTTTGGAGTGCTGAGTTCGATATATCCATTATATGTCAAACTTTGTTCGAAATAAAAAATCAATGCATGCGATTTCCCGCGTGATATAGAAACCGTTCGATATAGGCAATAATTCGACATATCCGTGTTCGATATATTGAGGTTTGACTGTATAGTATATACTGGGGGCATTGCTATCACCGCTGTAAAGCTGTTTGCACCTCGTGGCACTCGTGTTTCTCGCATAGGTCGCATTTCAGGTTCACTATTACCGAGCGCTAGGTGGCGTTGTGCTCGCGAGCGTTCATCACCACCACCACCATCATCATCATCATCATGGTTGTTAGATTGATAGCGCCGGCGGTAACGTCTGGCAGCAAGCCTTGGTGGTGGCAGAGATGAGCGGGTCTCCTTGGCGGGTGGCGGTTGGCGCGAGCAATCGTCTTTCGCGGTGGGCCCGTGAGAACGGCACCGCGGGATTGTAGCTCGCAGGCCCTCGTGGTGAGTCAAGCGTTCGCCGCCTTGTGTATGTTATGTTGCTGAGTGTATGGTAATATTGTGTAAGGTTGTTTTAGCGTGTTGATCAAATTGATGTATCTTAATTCAGCTGACGATATCGTCATTCTGAAAGTAGTTAAATAAATGTGTGTTCTTTGGTTCGTTCCAACCGTGTCTACTATGTCTGTTCACTCCAAGAGCGTGGCGCTCTCCGTTTCGAGACCCCACAATACACAGGACTGTATTTCTTTTTGCATTGAGAATTTTTGTGGTAGCAGCTGCTGTGGCTTGTGAGGTCACTTGCACTTGATGAATGAAGTACAAATTAACAAAGGGAAATTTGTTTGCACGTAACTTAGGAAACAGTGAGTTGAAGTGCCAGTTGTGTTCTGTGTTTTACTGAGCCTGTACATGTAGGCGATAAGAAAACTAGAGTAAGAGCTGAGGTGTAATTAACAAGCTAGTGCATTCTTCTGGTGAACTTCGCTGAAAGAAGTATTTTTGCTGACATGAGTGGTGTGCGTGGTGTCACACTTTTCAGGGCGCAAGTCGTAAACCGAACAGGAGGCGTCACCATCGTCAAAGTTGGTGGTAGCAGGCATGACCTTTCATCCAGCCGGGGTGCCACTATGCCAGCAGGACCGGCAGGGCGTACCCCAGTGGGCAGTGCGGCTTCTAGTCAGGCTCCAAAGGCCCCTGGCATGCTGGCCTCTTCGTCACGGGAAGCCAGCGCCCGTTCCCTGGGCCACCTGGGTTCGGGTCAGCTGTCCCACCGGAGTATGACCCGCTTGCCCTCGGCAAACCACATGCACAATGGTGAGGGCTCTTTTTCCTCACAGCTTGTATTTTTTAAGCAGGCTTCTGAAGAACCATATGTTTCTAGACGCATCATTTCGAGGTTTCATCAATGCTTGTATATTACAACTTCAATCTCTTGTGGCACATCTGTTAAACCCAGCACTAAGCATGCAGTTTATTATTAAGCATGCAGCTTTTATTAAATGTTAGGCAATTTATAGTGGTGTAGGATATTCTGTCCACAAATCCCTGGCATTGTTTTGCTCATTTAAAGGGACATTAAGGGGGGACGCAGCTTTGCGATCGCGAAAAATGGCAAGAAATCAATTTTTTGAAACTCAAGTTTTCAGTTTCTGGAACTCTTTTTGTATCTGGTTCCAAAATGTCTACACTGAAAACCGCGCAGAAGTGCTTCGGAAAATTCTTTACCTACCTAGGTAGCAAAACTTTTCCTGGAAATGGCGAGAAAACAGCGATTTAAAAAAAATTATAGCTTCGCAATGCTTAGGCTGGGAGTTGGCTTCTTGGGCTCATCGGAAAGAGCATTTCTCTGTGTTTAACTTTCCCGCCTCAGATGGCTTCTCCCTTTAAGAACAAGCGCACAAAAAGCAAATGTTTGAAGGTCGTTTTGAGGCCCTTAATTGGCTGTGGTCGCCATGTTGCCTCAGCTCGCCTCGCCATTGGCCCGATGCTCACTCCGGGAGATCGTCGTATGCTGCTTGTACGTCGCGAGGGCTTGGCTCTCGAAAATTGCTACTTTGTGACGTGTTCACGGCTTGATTATCACTTAAGATATAATTACGCTTTAGTTACGAGCAGTAAACAGATGTGCGATCAGGTTACTACGAGCGGGCGCGCGGTCAACAAGCGCGGCGCGTCATCGGAGTCGTCTTTAGCCCTAACTCCGCCGACAGCGCGACTGCGGGCAGGAATGACACGCAAGCGCACTCTTGGCGACGTGCTTCTTCGCAAGGAATGAAGCACATCACTCGCTAGCTCCTCTAAACCACGTACGGGCATTTTAGGCATCGGCAGCAGACAACACAGTCAAGCTCGCTCGTCATCCCCCCCCCCCCCCCCTTCACTGCCGAGGATTGCTCGGAACAGCGGTTAGCAGTTTCGCGCGTCATCACTCGAAAATGCGATGCCAAGCGCAGTGCGCGCCGATTTTTTGTCATCGTAGTTACACATTTCGTGCATCGTCACCGAACGCCGCCAGCAAGTGCATTACGCGCCAGCTGCACTGTCCACGCGGCCACGCACCCCACGGTCATATGGAGTGCTGTCAATAAGCTTTTGTGATGCGATTTAGACGTGCTTGGAGCCGTGCTTGATATCACGACGAATGCCTATGAATGTTCCGAGGCAATGAAAGCCTCTTAGATTAGAGTTTCCGCGACCGGCTGTATGATGATGCATTTCACGGCTACAGTGGCCAAAGAGCATGTATGAATCAGAGGCATGAATTTTTATATGCCCGTTTCGCGTCATTAATAATACTGCTAAATATTCCTGTGCCACCTGTGTTCTGCTCATAACTTTGTTGTTTGGAACGAAGGCATAGGGCGTCATGGTTTGATTTATTTTTCTGGTTCAATAAACCTCTCTCCAAATAAAAAAATGCTCAGTGATTATTTGTAATCAAGTACTTAATTGCACTAATTACAACTTCAGCACAATAAATATGTGTAATCATTTCAGCATATGGCCTTATTCAATTACAATCTTTTCTGTCATGCCTATAACACCACTCCTTCATACAAAGAACTTGGTTTAAAATTCATGCTTGTTCTTTCTAAATCATGAAAAGGAGTAAATCATGAAAAGAAGTCAAATATCACAAAACAGACCTGAGATCACAATTTTTAGGTGTCGTAGAGACATAAAGAAAAGTTGAAATTTTAAACGCAGTTTTCTCAATAACGTTTTTTTTTTTTTTGACATTATGCTCAGCCCCTCCACAAGGTTCAATGAAGAAATAATGTGTCTCTCGTAAAGTATTTGTGGTATCGCTTCAAAATTTTCATGAAAGCACTGTGAGTTCATTCTTAGTGCCTGTGCCAATTTTCATCAATATTCAACAAAAAACAAGAAAGTTCATCGAAAAAGGCCTGTCGAAAACTTTGAAAGGCTTTTTCTCACAAGTATGTTGTAGACATTGTGCATTGCTCGTGAAAAGAGTAGCAACGGAATGACTGGACCGATTTTGATTCTGTTTTTTTTTTCCCTGAATCCCTGAACGTTGCTTGTTTGTACAGCAATCTTCAATTTCTGTTTTATGGCCCTGTTTTTTTTTTTTCTAGAGGATTTGTCCATGCCACTGTTTCTGACAATGTGTGTTGGCAGCCATGATGTTCTTTAAAAAAAAGAGAGAACTTACTAAAGAATTCTGAGAGTGCCATACCCTGTAACTTTCTTTTGAGTAAAGGTCAACATCATTTGCAGCTTCCTGGCATGTTTTGTTACAGCGCTAGGCTTTCCACGAGCAGATCATATAATTGGACCATGTAGCATTATATAACTTGAGAACTACTGAAGGTATAATGATGAAACTGCATATTTCCCTATTCGGGACACTTATGAGTATGCATGTCAAATTTCATTGCTGTAGGTCAACAAACAAAAAAGCTTTTTTTTCAATGCCACCTCCCCTCTTAAAGGCAAATAACTATTTATGTCAGAGTGAAAGCTCAATGTATGATAGTCTAAAACGGCAGTGTTATCAACAGCAGTGCCCTACTATTTACCGAGAAATTAAGCTAAATGTACCACACGACGGACCCCACAAGTGGGATAGTTTTGAAGTGATCACGATGACGTCAGAGCATCTGACTACAATTAATCACCTGTAATCAAACTAGCTGCAATAAAAAAAAATCTTATATGCATAAAGAGACATAATAAAGTGCTGCTTGTTCATTTCTGTTTGATTTATAGAAAAAAGAACTGCCTGGCGTTACTATGGGGAATGGCACGAGTGGTTCAAAATTCAATTTTCGCCTGGTTAGGCTGGATAGATGGTGCCATCTAGCAGGGCTAAATTAAACCAAACAAAACGGGCCACGTGTCCATTCTCTCTGAGGTCACGGCAGAAAAATTGTTCAACGGCCGTTGTTGCTGCTGTGGCTCCTGGAACTTTCGCTCTGCTGCTACTAGTGCTGGTGGTTGTGCAGTAAAGGCGGGCAACATTGGGCATGGCAACAGGGATGTGAAACAGACCGCTTTCAAGCGGGAGATTTGATGTGCGCTAGCGTGTTGCAGACCACAAAAATGTGAGTTTATTTCAAAATAAACAAAAAGCACAAAAGTTGCACTACGAGGTTTCTGGACCTCTATTTCAGCAATCAACAACGACTTGATATTAACGTTAGGGTCCTTTCAAGTCTTTGCAAATACTAAACATCGTGGTCACCAGAACACAGGTACCAGTTTGGTTTTCTGCTCAGAATGATTCAACATGCCACTGCCATGTAAAACACAGTCACAATGTTGTGCTGCGAAATGCTGCTGAAGCACAGCTGTTCATAGAAATTATACTGTACAAACAGATATATTTTCTTGCACTCACAGTATCAAAGATTGAATCTACTTTTTGTAGTTCAAATGGCTAAATGTGACACAGGTGAGTGCCAAATATAAAATAAAATTTAAAAAAAAGATACACATTACACCAATCGTGAACTTGAACTTTTTGTTTCCTGTCATGTTCAATATATATGCCACATTCTATGAGGCTTATTCACAACTTGAGGCTACGTGATTTGCTCAAGAGCCTTTCTCTAAGTGTACTTGCATCCAGGCAAAAAGTGCGGGGTCCTACAGGTGACTATCCCATGTATTCCTATGGCAGCATGGCTTGGGAGCTTTTAACAGATGCTGTACATTCTGCATGTAGTATGAGTTTATTAAGAATATGAACCCCTTTTTGTTACCGACATTTTTATCTCGAGGTATTGGAATAGTTCAGTGTCAAAAGCTATATATGTGTGTGTGCATGCGGGCGTGCATGCGTGCATGCATGACTAATGCTACTACATAGGCAGTACGCTTGTGCGTATTGTGACATATAAGTTTGAAGTGAATTTGATTAGAATAACGATCTGGTTCGAATAATTTTGAATCAAATTCGAATAGTATATATATCACATATTGTCAAACAAAATTGGTCATATTTGTCATGAACCAACCAACCTGCACAATACTATATTTAAAGAAATTGAAGCAAGGCCCATGCAAAAGCCTTTCTTTTTAGCTTGAAGGAAGCAGAAACGACTTTGAATAGTAGCAAAATATGACTTTCGTAAACTCTAAAACATTTTACATTTAGATGCGAAGCAGCTCTTTGACTAGCCTGTATAATGCTGTCCCTCCGTTTGCACCGCGATCCCTTGGCTGCAGATGTTGGGGGGGGGGGGGTGCCAAGTAGGTCACGCCTTTCCTTCGCAGTGTGCACGCGTTGATGTTACTCTCTCCCTAGCCTGCCGCCGCTCGCTGTGTGTTATCTCTCTCGCTTCACCCTCTCCACCGCTCGCAACGTTCAAGCGCACATCGAGCGAACAGTCTTTCTGTGATGAAACTTACAGGAAACTTAACCTGCCTTTTATGTCTTTACGTTTCAAACGTTCACTCGAGTAAATGCTGCACCGAGTTTCGCTTCAAACCGTTCTTCCAGCATCCGCGTCGACGCCCGTTTCAACAGGGTCGACGCCGTGCGCACCGCTGCTGCTTCGCATCATATCAGGGTTCCCCTTGGGGAGATGGTCCATAATTGTTTTAATGTACTATACTATATAAGTTGCATAACAAGCTCTTAACGTTAATGAATAATGCATCGATGGGAGGGTCCTTCCACCTTGAAATAAATAAGGCTTGCCGGCATTGTGTATCTTTTCTCAAAAAGTGTTTTCACTGTAGCATACCCCTTCACTGCAGTGAAACCATCTCTACAGAGCGTTATATGTGATTTAATATACACTTGTTCATTCATTTTGAATGCTTTGAAATTTTCTATAATTTAAATTATAATTGAAGCGGATTTGTAATGTCAAATATTCACGCAAACCTAGTATGCAGCCGTTTACATAAATGACCAAGCACAACCCATTCCCAGAACAAGCAAAGACTGGAACTGCCTTTCCGCTGCCACCGCATCTCTCATCGACCCTGCAAACTTCAAACTCTCCATTTTGCAGCAATTGTAACATTTCGCTTACTTTTTGTTGTATAACCCCCAATTCTTTCTGTAAAGCTTTCGGGCATGGAAAGTATTCAAATAAATAAATAAATAAACAACAAACCTCTTGGCATTCGGAATGCATTTCGAAACTTGTGAGTGTTGTGAGCAGCACCTATGTTTCTTATGACACACAGAAATGGTGTAACATGTAGCAGGACATGGGGTTCCAACTTGGAAAGAATATGCTGCTAGAAATACAATAGCAGCCATTTCCAGTTTTTCAACTTTATTGTGTTGACGATTTACATGCCTGTATATAGCCATAGTAATGATTTTCGCTGCAGCTCCCCATGCACAGAGCAACAGCCGGCTAAGCTCTCCCTGTGGCCTACACATGAGCATGTCAAAGCTCAGCTCCAACTCTCCTGTCAACCGGAGCCTGTCGGCACTCAACAGCCGGCATAACCTGAGCTCAATCCCAGCCGCGCACACAAGCCGGGTGTCCAGCTGCGGTGTCACCGTCACGACCACTTCAGCCCACAAGAGCATGAGGTGGGGCCCTCTTGTTGATTAGGGATAAATGCTAGCCTGCTCAGAAATTTATCGCTGTGGGAGTTTGGCGGAGAAAAACGAGCGTTGACAGACATAAACGATTAAGAAAGGAACCTTCCACTCGCACATTATTATTGACATGGTTAAGCTTAGTGTTAATATTTATGATCTGCCTTACGCACCCTGTCAACACGCAGTGAAAAATGTGGTCTTACAAAACAGGGTTACAGTGTACTTACATTTCTTCACTTATCAACACTTAAACCTCATTGTAACAAACTCACACCTGCATGAAAATACTTCGTTATATCCGAAAATTCATTGTAGTTATATTGTTACGGAAGAGAGATGCCATATCGACGAGGCTGTGGATGAAATATATTCAAACCAGCAGCAGCAGCGGCGTGACTGGTAGACTAGACACCGAGCGGAGACCACCCTTCGTCTTCCTCGTCAGGCACACACGCGCGTCGCCCCCTAGAATCTCAATTTGCATGCATGTAGCATAATCCCCAGCGGCAGAAGCGCCGTCTCGGCGCATCTAAATGTCAACGTCACTAGGAGAGTGGTAGGGCTTCAACCGTGCAACATGTACAATATCGGTAGCCTGTTGAGTACATGAAGGCGATGGGGCGACAGGACCAATTTCATATGTCACAGGAGTAACCACACGAAGGACTCGGTATGGACCTGTGTAGCGAGTAAGCAGTTTTTCTGACAAGCCAACTTGACGGGTCGGAGACAAGAGCAGGACCAAAGAACCGGGCGGAAAATGTACGTTGTGGTGTCGTTGGTCATATAGACGCCGTTGCTTCTCTTGAGAGGTCAGAAGGCGAGTACGGGTGATTTCGGGTGCGTGAGCGGCCCGAGTGATAGCGTCCATGGCATATTCACTGGTCGGTACCGCAGGGGACGGTATGACGGTGTCTAAAGGCAATGTTGGTTCTTGGCCAAACAACAGAAAAAAGGGAGAGTAACCGGCAGTATCATGGCGCGAAGAATTATAGGCAAATGTGACGTACAACAACGCAAGATCCCAGTCGGTGTGGTTAGTAGAAACATATTTAGCGAGCATGTCTGTAAGAGTTAAATTTAGACGCTCCGTGAGTCCATTGGTTTGCGGATGGTATGACGTAGTCGGCTTGTGTCTCGTTTGACAGGACTGCAAGATGTGGGCTATCACCTTCGACAAAAAGGTGCGGCCACGGTCTGTAAGCAGCTGCCAAGGAGCTCTGTGTTGCAAATCACGTGCAATCATGCACAGTTATCAAGAGAATGTTTGAAAAGCTTACTATAGAGATTATTGAGGCTGAGGCTATCGCTTCACTGGGGTATAAGTGCGTCAGCACTCCTTCTCTTACGCTCAGTGATAAAGAATTGTATTTTCTAAGAAATTAATTTTTTGTGCGCATCTTTCATGTCATGTGATGTTATTTTTCTTGGTGATATAGGCGAGTGTGCGGTGGCAATAAACATTATGTTGGGAGTTAGCGCCTGTGCCGTGTGTCCTCGTCTTGTGTCCCCGTTTCTTTGCGCTATTTTCTATCGTCACAATGCACCAACAAGCCCAAATTTCAACAGTGTCGATGACATAGACGTGCAATGTGACCTGGAATCCCGCAAAAGTAACATACCGGCCAGTTGTCAGCAGTGCACCAAGGATTTCCAGCATGCTGCTGTGTAGCTGGAAACGGTGCGGTGGAAGGTCACACAAGTTGTGGCGTATACAATGGCAGACAAGGCGGAGGCATTGCCGCGACGGCCGCGTAAGTCAGTGGCGCGGCCACAGGTGTTGATAGAGAGGCAGGCGTAGGTAATGGCAACTGCCTCGGAGACCTGCTCGGCGTCTCTCATAATCAAATGGTGGTTTTGGGACGTTAAACCCCACATATCAATCAATCATCGGAGACCTGCTCCTGAATAGCTTGTCTGATTGTCGGCGTTAGGCGGTTCGTTGGTGCTTCGGTGGTCTGCAGATACTGAGAGACACGAAAGCTGTCGTGCGACCTCATCACGTACATATTCTTTTATCTGCTCCAGCAGGGTGCAGTCAACACTGACGGCCAGGGAAGCGAGAGAGTCGTCTGCTTTCGTTGACCTTCGAACTGATGCACGTTGCTCGCAAATCTCTTCCAAGCTCTGGCACAAGGTCACAAGTTCGGACAAGGTACTTGGGCCCTTTGCCAGCAACATTTGAAAGGCATCATCGTCTATTCCTTTCAAGATATGCCTGATCTTGTCTTGTTCGGTCATCTCAGGGTTAAGGCACCGGCATAAATTGATAACATCTTCAATGTAGCTAGTGAAGTTATCGCCCTGCCTTTGTGCTCGTCCGCGTAGGCACTGTTCAGCACGCAGCTTGCGCACTGCGGGGCGATTGAACACAGCTGCAAGGGTGGTCTTGAAAGCGGCCCAAGTGGTAAATTCAGTACGGTGGTTTGTGAACCACAGGCTGCCGACGTCTTTGAGATAAAATGGGACGTACTCCAATTTCGAGGGATCGTCCCACTTGTTGGCGGTGCTCACCTTTTCAAACAGCTGCAACCAGTCTTCCACATCTTGGTCCTCAGTGCCGCTGAAGAAGGGGGGATCTCGTTGGCGCAGGGTGGTAGGTACGATGACCAGTTGAGATTGGGCCGTGCTCTGCAGGGGGGTGCCTTGCTCGGTCGTCTGATCAGGCATTGCTGATGCAGTGGGCAGCTTCCGGCTTCGAAGTTCCAGGTTTGCGTACCCAGCACACTTCCACTACTTTGCAAGGGAGTTTAATAGCGACGCCAGGTAGTAGGCAGGCAGCCGGTACGGACAGAAATGCTCGAGCAGTCCAGCGTCTACAGCTCGTGCACACACTCGCACTTCGCACTCAAAGAGAGATAGTCCCACTAGTCAGTGCCTTGCGAATTCCCCACTACACCAAGATGTTACCCAAGGGAATCATTGAACCCTCTTCGAGCCCTTGGGTGTCCCCCGTTGTGCTCGTTAAAAAGAAAGATGGTACGTGGCGCTTCTGCGTGGGTTACCGGCATCTGAATAGAGTCACGAAAAAGGACGTTTACTCTTTACCCCGCATCAATGATGCTCTCGATTGTCTCCACGGCGCCCGATACTTTTCTTCAATAGACCTACGTTCCGGCTACTGGCAGATTGTTGTCGACGAAAAAGACCAGGAGAAGACTGCATTTGTAACTCTAGACGGCCTATATCAGTTCAAGGTTATGCCGTTTGGGCTAAGCAACGCCCCAGCCACGTTCGAGCGCATGATGGACTCTCTGCTACAAGGGTTCAAATGGTCAACATGTCTCTGTTATTTTGACGATGTTGTTGTATATTCCCCAACATTTGAGACCCACCTTCAGCGTTTGTCAGCTATTCTCGACATATTCCGCAGTGCAGGCTTTCAATTAAACTCGTCTAAGTGCTACTTCGGACGCCGGCAAGTTACAGTGTTGGGTCACCTTGTCGATGCATCTGGTATGCAGCCGGACCCGGAGAAAATTCGTGCAGTCACCAGTTTTCCTGTACCCCGGTCAGTTAAAGACGTCCAGGAGTTTTGTAGGACTTTGTTCCTACTTTAGAAGGTTTGTGAAAGGTTTCGCAACCATCGCTTGACCTCTCACTGAGCTTCTGAAGAAAGACGTCACGTTTACGTGGGGTACCGACCAAGCTGCTGCCATAAATTTATCTCTTTCCTTACCCCTTTTTTTTCTTCATGCCTCTATTTTTTTTTCTCGGAGGCAATTAGTGTTTTTTCTTCCTGCACATTGTGTAAGTCGAGCTTAATGAAAGCACGCTTTACTTTTTTTTCAGTCCATGACACATGATCTTTTTTTTTGCTTGTCAAGTGCCCTTGATAATTTTTCACCTTGTGTGCGTCTTTTTGCCCAGCATTCCAACACTGATAGAAGAAGCGCAACCATCACCAGTGGTAGGTCGTCACCCAGTTCTGACCGTGTCTATAACCAGCAATGTGGCAAGGCGGGGGCCTGCAGACATGGCTGGAGGGGGTGGCACCTCCCCCAAGGGGGCGGTGCCCAGCCCTTCCCCGCCCCCTCTGGGCCCCACTCCCTCCTGCTCCTCGTCATCTGCCACACCTCCACCCTACGCAGAAGGGGGCACGTCGTCATCTTCACGCCTCGGCGCACCGAACAGTGGCTCACTGAGCTCAGGCTGCAATCAGCAGCACTTGAAAGGCAGTGGCGGGGGCACCAGCTCAGCTACTGAGGACGAATCTGTGCCAGTAGTGCCACGCAAGGTAGTGCAACCTAATGCACAGGTGAGTACTCTGTTGTGATGCCTTTAATTCAGTCATGTTTATACCTCTAGCATGTACACTGTGCAAACCTGACGACTAAAACATTGTTTTAATTAAATAATTTATTTTAAACTAGAGCAGCGAATCAACTGTCACAAAAGCTCCATTTTAATATCATAATGGTAACGTCTGTTCATGGGTACCACATTTATTGCTTTATAAAGTCACATATGCACCATGTCTGAAAAATTAAGAACGATCTGATATGATGTCAGTCAATTTTAGTCTTCATAATTTGGTGGTTACACAACAGCATTATACGTAACCAGCTTTTTCACAGAACATGGACATGTTTTTATGGAGTAGGTTGCATTGATAAAGTAGATGTGTACACCTCTGATAGTCTACATTATTGCTTCCCAAAGAAAAACATGAAAACAAACTCGGAAGCCTACATTCACAGCTCAGAAAAGCATAGAATAAAAGAACAGTAACACCACCAACTTGGAGCGTGCATTTCAGCTTACTTGGCAGTCATGAATTTTGACAGCATCTCATTGCTGTCACAATTTTTTTATGGCAGCATCTATTTAAGCTTGTGTTTATGTAAAAAAGGTCTACAATATATAGTAAAAGAGCTAAAGATTGCACAGCAGGCACGAGCAATTTTTTTAATGTCAAGGCAATTCAAATGCAATCAAATAGTCTGCCGTTCAGGATATCAAGTCATCTTGCCAGTGCTGATGTTCTGGCACCAAATTCACAAGGTAGTAGATTTATTTTTGTGAATAAAGTCAACATTTTTCAAATGACAAAGGTTTTTTTTTTTTTTTTTTTTTCCCAAGTATTCATATCTTAACTTCATCCTTTCTAAGCTTGAGTGAGGCTTAACATAATTATGTGTGCCTTCATTGCTCTGTCCTGTCTCGCAGAGGATATCAGTGTTCGAGCCATACCCCATGAGAGATGCAGTGCAACACTTTTGTGAGAAACACCTAGACAAGATCAAAGCATACATGCAGACCATTTTTGTCAAGCTCCCACTGCCATCCAAATGCACCATCGAAGGTGAGTAGTGGTTGCTCATTTAAATGTAAGAAATATTACCTTCCACTGCGCAGTGCTGTGCAAAAAATGTAAACGCACTTAGGTAAGACTCATGTCTTATTTGTGGCTCACACTGTAAGTCTACAACATTGTTGTACCAACAAGTGTCCGTCGTATTGCTGAATGTGCCGTATACAGGGCAACATCGATTATATGTCCTCCTGTTTCACGATGTCCCATATTTTGTGATAAATCGGTTTGGTCTCGGCAAAACTATCATAGATGTAATATAATAAAACTGGGGTTGTGCTAATATTCGAATGCTTTAAATATTCGAATGAATATGTAAAGCATTCTAATATTAGCGCAACCCCAGAATATTTTTTTATATTTGTGCTAATATATTTAGTTTATATTAGCTCAACCCCAGAATATTTGAATTTGTTTCAAATCAAAATTAAAATATTGCAAATTCCAAATACTCGAAATTAACTAATTGGTACAGACGGGTCCACTGTTAAAGGGAACACTTTTATGCACGGCATGCTTAGATTTCACTCACCTGCAAGAGCACAGTGCCTTAGATTCGCACAAGACTACTGGTGATTCACAGTTATGACTCATTTTGAGAGACTAGTGGTGTACATGAACATTGTTACTTAATCCACTTGCTGCTAAATAGCTGGCAATACAAACGGTGCTCATTGTAGTGTTCCCTTTAACTGTGGACCGTGCTGCTCATAATAGTTTGTAACCTTTTGTGAAGGTGGTTTCACTGGGGTGCAGGTATGCAAGGCCATGAAAACACCTATTCAAGGGAAATCTGCACTGCTGCGAAGTTTCATATTAAGGTTAAATGAACATATTACGTTCACATTGATTATTTTTTAAGCTTAAAAGCTTGTTATACCAGCTTATATGCTGTAAGCATATTAAATTTTAAAACGTGACACATTTCAAAGCTTATAACTTGCACTCTAGTGAAAGTTAAATCCTGCTACTATTTTCAAAGTTGTTTCCACTTCCTTCGAACCAAAAAGAATGGCATTTGCACAGGGCTCATTTTAATTTTTGAAAAATGTTGTGTAGGTTAGACAGATCATGACAGATATGCCTATTTTTTCTTATAGTATGTTACATACATACTGTTCGAATTCGATCTGAAATTATTCTCGTCAAATTTTTATTCTTACTAGCCTAAGTAAAGCCCATTCTTAAACCAATTTTACGCCAATTCACTTTGTATAACTGCTCATTGAGAGCGTGAGAAAAAAAAAGCATTTTCTTTACTCCAATCTAACACCAATTAAGTGTTCATGAGGACGAAATTAAAACTTAACAAACCCTAGGTTGATAGAAAAAAAAAAGAGGAGTCAAACAGGTACAGTATGTCTTCTGTGATCCAGTTTTCCTAACTTTGAAATCACATCTGGATGTGCCTTTTTTGCATGCATATGGAGGGCAGTTACCTAGACCAGCCCTATATAAACAAAGTAGCTTCAGCTAGTTGGCAAGCTCATTTGTGAGATTCACATAGTTTCGAGTTTTCGGCCTGTGAAAACCTTTTCTTATATTCAGAGGCTTTGAACACGCAAAAAAGGACGCAACACTGCCATCGTTTCTGTGCAAGATAACTTTGTTTTGACACGAGCGTTTAGAATAACAGCAGCACATCACTTCTCGCACTTCAAAAGAGAACAAATATGATTGACGCAGCTCGGTCACACTGCAAAAGCATCCTACACGGGAAGTTCATTCCAACGTGGTTTTGGTTTCGTTTGTATGCACAGGCAATTTTTGGACTTTCTTTATTGGAAGAAAGGTGTACATTGAATTAGATTATTTTTCACTCTGTGTCACTCTATACCAAGCCAGGCAGATTTCCGTTGAATATGTTCACTCTTTAATATGCATGCCACTGAACACTTTGCCTGGCAGGTGCTTCATTATGCTAGGGAGCATACATGCCTTACTACACTGATATTTATGGCGACCTGGTTGTGACTTCGCGTTTTGGAGCTGTGGTCTGACCATCTCTCTCTCTCTCTCTCTCTCTCTCTCTCTCTCTCTCTCTCTCTCTCTCTCTCTCTCTCTCTCTCTCTCTCTCTCTCTCTATCTATCTATCTATCTATCTATCTATCTATCTCTATCTCTCTCTGTGTGAGTGTGTGAGTGTGTGAGTGTGTGTGTGTGTGTGTGTGTGTGTGTGTGTGTGTGTGTGTGTGTGTGTGTGTGTGTTTGTGCGCGCATGAAAATTGGAGAGAGTTTTTGTTTATACGCATGTGTACATATATCATTGCAAAGGTCTTCCACACTATGTATTGCATTCTTGCATGGAATTCTTTTTACCTGCGACTCAAAATGCCATCTTGACCTCTGAGCAAGGTTTGCTACAGTACTGTGTGATGTTCATAAGCTACTACAAGCATGCCTTCCACCCACCTTCAGCATTTGTCTCAACAATAAGGAAACATCGGCACTCCACCAGAGCCTCAGTTTTGGTGTCAAAAAGAAAATGCTGAGAATGCTAATATGTATTTCACTGTGAGGGCAGTAGCTTGCTAGAAAGCAAAGAATTAACAACTTTGGAGAGCCAAGGACGTACAGTCGAACCTCGCTACAACGAAACTCACGGGGCGCAGAAAATATTTCGTTGTAGCGAGTATTTCGTTGTAGTGAAATAAAAAGAATGTAATTTATCTGAGCTAGCAAAACAAAGGAACGTTTATTTTTAAAATTAAAAAGCGGTCCGCTGCCTCCTAATCTTTTCCAGCAGCGGCACGACGGGATTCTCATTCGTGCATAGCGAGGCCATGATAAAAAGCACTGAAACAATGCCTAAAACCGCTTTCGTGAACGAACCAAACAGTTGCAGTAAGACGTTAACACCAGCAGCTGTCCTCCGTGAGAAGTATCCGACAACACCGAGATGGAGGCAGGGTATCGTGGAGCGGTGACTTTTGCCTTATTCTATGCCATTCTTATCATCCATCACTTGCAGCTAGCCGAGATGGTTGATAATGCATATGAACAGCCACTCTGATTAGATACCACACTGCAAAGCGCGAATAAAATGATAAGTATTGGAATCGGAAAAAGGCAGCGCTCCGCGATAGCACCCAGCAGCTGTGTGAAGGAAACCATGAACACAGCGACTGAGCTTCAGCTTCGAATCGTCTGCAGCTCGAAACAAGCTAGTGGCAAAAGCAGGGCAGTCACAGCTAGTCAGGGCAGTCTCATTGCCATCGCTATCGAGCAATGGCAGCGCCCATGCTTGCTAAACCGCGGCAATTTCTGGTGGTGCCAACGCGTGTTTTAGACTTCGTTGACTTGGGTTTCCTGTATAGCAATAAATATCTGAGCCTGGAATTGAATCATGAAATTTCCTTGAAGCGGTACGGCAAAAGAAAAAGCGTTCGTTGCGGCGACAATATTTATGCATTGACTCCTATGGACTGCTGACAGGGAACAGTGAATTTTTCATTCTAGCAAAAATTTCATTGAAGCGGCGTTTTTTGTAGCGTGGTTCGACTGTACATGTACATCAACTGCTACAGTCATCATACAGTCGAAAACGTACGTCATTGCCTGTATGTTAAGGCTCGGATTTGAATGAGTGAGCGACACCTCAAAAGTGCATGTAGTGATACGATGCTGACTGAATCAAAAGTGGCTTTTTTTCCTCTGTATTTTCATTTAATCCAAGATTGTGCGCCTGTTTGTAAGTCTATGGACTACACAAGTGTTTATTTTTCAGTGCATTATTTTTAGCGTTCTTATGTTTTTTGTTTTTTTTCTATAATCCATTCTGCTGTTACTTATGAGTAAACCGTGTGTGTGTACCAACACAAATTAATTTTTTGTCACTTCACATTCGCCCAAAAAGTTTTAGACATTTTTTTTTAAATAGATTCATCTGAAGAAGTCAATTCAGCAAGAAAAATGCACATTTATGAGATACATTTTGCAAAAAAAAAAAAATAATAATAAATGCTTCAAGGGTTAACAAAATAACAGTAAGTATATTCATCTACGTCCGTATTGAGAAAATGTATTATTTTCCTTCAGAAACGATCAATAAGGGAAATAGAGGCTCCTTTGATGAGCACAAGAAGAGCCCTCTGCAGAAACAGTCTCTCTTTTCTGCCCATACAGAAAGGCGTGCCAAGAAGCATGCCATTCTTCAGTTCGCGTGCCAGGGCAAAGGGGAGCATTGTCTATACAACAAGAGCCTGTTTGTCATGAAAACCAAGAATCCACGCATATGGATCCACCTCATGTTCCTTGCACTGCAGGTGAGTGCATCTGAACAAAGCAGTTCTTTGGCCCATGTGTGGTGTTGTAAGGGATCTTGCTTAATGTGTGCCACACCAGTTTTTAGATGCGAAGCAGCTAATGACAGAGTTCAATCCGGTGTGCATGACCACCCTTACTGTGCATGTGCAAGACATAGTCCAAGCACTGCCAGAACGTGCTCACGCACTAGCACGTTCCGACCTGTGTAGGGGCTGTGTGAGAGGCTGCGGCCTTTCCCCCTTACAATGTCTCAACAATGGCGTGATGACGTTGGGAAACGAGATTCTGCAGACACACAATGAGCCCACGTGCTCTCGCGTGGCGTGGCGATGAACCCGTCTGGCATGCCGCAACAAGAGTTTGGGATGAGTAACAGCAACAGAAACTACAGTGAATTCATGGTGTGCTCCGCACTTGCAAGGACGCGTTTACATCGGGCAAAGTGCCTGTGATGAACGGAACTTCAAGTCGACCCGTGCGCTGCTTCACATGCTACTCACGGTTCCCTTCAGTGGGAGGTGGCGTAATTTTTTTGATTACCCATCTCCTTGGCGATGTTCCATCAAGATCTGTTATTTCTAGCAAATTACAAACTTTTTTTCGGTTTTGTGTTGTGTACTCAACTGTGCAGTATGGATGGGTGAAGCCGAAGTCATTGGTTTCTTGAAGGGGTGTGCAAATAGTTTTTAGGTTCGAAGCAAATTTGAACTGAGTAGTGATTTGGTCGAATAAGATGAGTGGAGTAGTTTGAATAGTATGTATCACATATTATAGAGGAGAATGAGCATACTTGTCATGAATCAACTAACCTGCACAATGTTTCGGCTAATTGGAGCAAGGGCTTGTGTAAACGTCATTCTTTTGGCTCGAAGTGAAGGGGAAGCAACTATGAATATAGCAAGATTTGAATATCACTAGGATGCAAGTGATAACTGGGAAAGTACATTATGCTTAAAAAATTACTGAGGGCATGCATGTCCATATTACAAGCTTTGAACTTAAGAAATGATTAATCAATGTGAGGGTGTTATGTTGATTAACCTTGAAGTGGGCTTAGGATTGTGGCAGTTTGGGCTAGTTGGTATGACATGATGATAGTTATAGTGCGAGAACAGAATGACATCCTTCTTGTCTCTTTGTCATCGTTATGTTTTCGCGCTATAACTCTCATTTTGAAGTGGGGCTTCGCGACAGTGCGGATTTTTTTTTTCAAAATAGGTGTTCTCACGGCATAGCACGTCTGCACTGCAGTGAAGCTACATTAAAGGGGTTTACGTGCAGTTATCTAAGCTTAACCTTTTATTTCTAATACTTTCGTACTTTCAATAATTTATGTTAATGTCAAATTGAATTCAAGTACTGTAAGGTTCGTTCAAATATTCGAAGTGCGCATGCGTAGTTTCTTAGCATTTCTGGGCTAGGTTATGTACTCGTTGGAGTTAGACGTGCTTAATCTGCCAAAAACTTGCAACATCTCCTTTTCTTTGGCTTCTGCCCATTATGCACTCTTTCCTTCTCTGCATCAACTCTTTCTCATGTGAAGAGATACAAATTTTGCATTACTGGGCATTGCACTCTATTCCCCCCATCGTACTAATAGAAACATCTTCATGCCCCTGCCCCCCCTATTTATTTTTTAACTTGTCACACCTAGGCTCGTTCCACAAGTGCCCTAAGTACGCGAGAGACATCTGTGAGTAGCCTGAAAAATTGCTGGGACACACTGAAGTATGATAACAAGTCATTCCTAGCCTTGGTGACCTCATCATTTCCATCTGCAAAGGTAAGTGCTCTCATTACCTGCTCTGCTTTATTAACACCTGATTAATTATTAATTATTAACATAATTTAATAATTATGTTAATAGTCACTGTTTGATGTACAGAAAACCGAAGCCAGATCTTGGATTTCTTTAAAGCCGCAGCCATTTGAGTAGAAGCTAATGCAAAAGCAGGGCCATCTTTTATTGTGATGGCAACTCGCAGTATCGCATTTTTATCCTTTAGTCACATGTTTGTTGAATACAGTAACAGCTCAATAATTTGACCCTTGTTCATTCGGAAACGCGTTCCCAGGTACTGGCTGTCATATGCATTGTTTAATGGCTTCAAATTCTCATTCATTTGGTCATATTTGGCCACAAGCCGGTTAATTTTGGGCGACCATGTGAGCGCACTGGGCACAAAGTAAAAGCCCTTCATTGGGGCCTTTGAGGTATTTTAAATAAATAAATAGATAAATGTGTGACAAAGTACAGCGAAAATGGCCCTCTCGGACAACAAGACTTCACAGTTCACATTGATCTCTTCACCAACTAGCGACCACGATTTTGTCCACATGTGGACACAGCACACAGCAACTTCATTTTAACTTGATACAATGCGGTCGCAATGTCGTAAAACCTAAATATGGCAATAGCTGTGGAAGACATCAACCACAATGGTATGCTGGCATAAGGTCGTTTGCTACCTACATCACGATGAACAAACCACAGTCAAACCAAACTATATCGAACCTGTTTATATTGAATTATCCTGTATATCGAACAACCTTGAACGTGGTATAGTTACAGTGAAAATATATAGCGAAAATTATGGTTACGTCGAACAAGAATAGCAGCGGCTCCTGATATATCGAATTTCATAGGGGGGAAAAGTGCCCCCAGAAGTTGGCTTTTCCTCGTAGCACTGGAGAAACTGGCGCTTTTTTTCTTCACTCACTCCAAAAGTGGTTGACTCGCTCTCCCTACCAAGATGCGCCGCATCAGTCAAGTCGCCATAACCCCTTTGCAAAAAAATGATCCTGACCCGCCCGCAGCGCTTGCTGAGACAGCCATTCAGAGTCTCCTGTACTCTTACCGCGTGAGCGCATTGGTCGTGCAAGTTATCTCTATGCATTTCCCGTTTGATGTGCTTCGCAACGCGCCCCTGTGCCGTGATGTCTAGCATGAAGCGGCAGAATTTGCCTTTCGGCGTGAAACTCGAAAATATAAATCGAGTGAAACGGGGTGAGAAGTCGAAAGTCGCAGCAGCGTACAAGATTCCGAGGAGCGCTCTTGGCACACTCTTGAAAAATAAGGCGGAGAATAAGGATAAAGTGGACAAAAGACCCGGTGCTCGTGGTGCCTGGCGCATACACACGGCTGTATATGAAGGAGTTGAGGCAGCCGTGTACAAGTGGTTCTTTGATGATCGGCCGTACAACCTCCCCATGTCCAGCCCCATGATCCAACAAAAAGCAAAGGACATCTTTGGCAAGGAGGATTTTCACGGTGGCTCTGGTTGGCTACAGTCGTTCAAAAGAAAGGCTCGAGATTGTCGGCAAAGCAGTTACTGGCGAAAGGCGAGCTGTACAGTTTGACAGTGTGAAAAAATGAACTTAAGAAAACTGACCCGACATTACAGCAAGATATGAGCCCCAGGATATCTTGAACGCTGATAAAATTGCTCTGTTTTGGCAAATGCTTCCAAATAGGACACTTGCATGTCGAGGTGACAAATCTCATGGCAGCAAAGAGAACAAGGCCCATGCATCAAAGCAATTAAATTGAACGGATCAAAAAAAGCTTTAGCTCCTAGTTATCGGCAAAAACAAGTTGCCGCGGTGCCTTTGGAATGCACTTTCATTTCCAGTGGCCTGTCATCAAACACAAAAGCGGGGATGACTGGGGAGCTTTTCAGCAAGTGGCTGTCATCGCAGATCATCGCGGAACGAGGATTTGAAAAGCAAAAGTTGCAAAGTGTGTTTGCATGTGGACGATTTTTCATCGCACTGCGGCAGTGTGAGTTTCAGCAACATTGAACTGTGCTTTTTGTCACCAAATACCACGTTAGTTCTGCAACTCCTAGCACAAGGTTTAATATTCTCTCTGAAAGCCAGCTATTAGATATGCCTGGTAGGAAGACTGCTGCTAAGCATTCGTATTAGCAGGGAGCTAAAGATTGACTTGCTCGATGCCCTTTCCATGCTGAGTGGCTTCCATGAGCCCGGTCATGACTGAAAATTCTGATGAGTGCAATGAATTTCAGTGTTGCCGAAGTTTGGAGTGAGCTGTCAAAATTTCTGGAAGCTGTTGACGAATGAACGATATTGATAAATTCGAGAAAGCAGATGATGACTTCGTGACCAAGGGTGAGCTCGAAAATTAAAACGACATTGCTGACATCATACTGAGCAAGTGAAAGTGAGCACAATGACCAAAGCAATGATGATCCTTTGTCCACGTTCTCAGAGATGATGGGTACTCTCACACTAGTCCAGCATTTCTACACAAATTTGCAAGGTTGCGGCTTCGCCTGCTTTGACTTTTTAGACCATGTTGAGAAATGCATGCTGTCCCAGGCAGTGAAGTTCCCCTAACAGAAAAAGTCTAAGACTTATTCAAGTGCAACTAAGCTGGCTTTGTCAATAAAGTGCTTTTTTGAATGGTTGAATTTATGGCGTCCAATTCTTTGGCAGGCTTAAATGAAATAATGCCCTATATCGAACAGACAAGCATTTTTTTTTTGCAAGTGTAATATATCTGGGTTTTGATTGTATTCCTTTTCATCTATTATACCTGTGAAAGAACTATCACCACGTGCACGTGGTGGTAGTGGCAGTACAGTCAACGTCCGAGTTTCTGGACATTAAAGGGACTGCGAAAAAGTCTGGAAAATTGGGAAGTACAGGGAAACAAACGAATGCAAGCGAAAACACACTTTTTAATTGGTATTCTTCGCTGACGAAGAGGGTCGCGCTGGAAGCACAGGATTCTCATGGCAATTCAGCAAGTCCATCGTTTAGGTGGCTCTAAAAAGAGCCAGAAAAAAAAGGAAAGAGAAAAATATCCGATGTGGCCAGCACTACCACAATTGTAAACATTTATTTGGCAAGAAAAAGAAGTCTCTTATTCTCATGTGCTTAGCGTTCCACTTGCCCGCGATTATGTCTGCCTCAATTTCAGTTAACATCATGCTGTCACTGTACACCTATGACAGTGTCAGTGCTCGCGTCAACTCCGAGCTCCTTGGCTGTGTAGGGGCTGTCTCTTCGATCTCTGTGTTGGAGTCGTGGGAATTCTCCGTAACTTGACGAATCATTTCATCATCAGTCAATTTCGTACACAGCTCGAGGTCTTTGACAGCATCGGCAAATTGCTCAAAAGGTTATCCCGGCTGGAATCAAAACGGCGGTGACGTACTGATCGTCAAAGGCAACTTTGTGGCGGGTGGAATTTCATTGCATACGCGGTTCACTTAGTGCAAGACGGCCGTCTCAGTGTCCAGAATAAAGCTTGTGTGGCGAAAACAGTTCTGGAGGGTCTATTGTATAACCGCCTTCCACGAGTCTGCAAGCGTGCTGAAAGGAGACCATAGGTCAACAGGTTAGCTTTTCCCACTGTTGAAGCAGAGGCTGCACAGCACCATGCGGCCTAACCTACGGCTGGCAACGAATTGGCATGCGCTAGATTGCGGCTTTTTAAGTTTTCGGGGAAGGGCAGCCACGGCACATTTGGTTCGAGGGTCCGAAAACAACCATAAGGATGGTGTCGATAGTGACTTTGAGTCTGCGGTTAGTGGTAAAAAAAGCTTGGAAAAGTCCGGATGGCGAAAGCTGTAAACGTCTGAAATTTCGGGCTTTCTAATACATTGACTTTACAGAGATCTTGACGGTGCCACAGATGGGTCCAGGAAATCAGGCATGTCCGGGATTCGAACGTCCAAAAAATTGGATGTCGACTACACGTAACAAGGCAGGGGTGCAGAGCTCTTTTCGGACTAATTGTAAATGCGGGAATGTAGGGCCATGCACCCATTGAGAACAAAACAGCAGTAGGGCAAAAATTGCAACTTTTACATTGCCCTTATGGAAAGACTTTTACATTGCCCTTATGGAACACAAGTACAGGATTTATGTATTTGCAACGAAAATAAAGCGGATTGATGTAACAGACATTTTCTTATTGTTTTCTTGATACTTTCAATACTTCAGTATGCAGTAAACCAGACATTAGTTCCAGGGCCATGAAATATTAAAGAGCTTTTACTGTAGCTCAGTTTGTGTTGCTTTTATGCGTACGAAAATGGTCACCTCCCATTTTGTCATCCAGGACCAGGACAACCTGATAGCTGAGCTGCGCAGTGAGCGTTTCTTTGATGTGTTCGAGTACAATGGGCCACTCACCCTGTGGGGCTGCTTCTTGTGCAACCACCCGGACCGGGCCCAAGGTTTCCTCCAAGAAGGTGGCGAGCCCGTCATTGAGGTGGGCAAGCCCAGCACATTCACCCGCTTTTTGGAGACCTTGTGTAAAATATATGACATCAACATCAACTCGTGTATGCAGAGGGCAAGTGCTCCGTGGCCTGTACAAAAGGGATAAAAAGGCATTCTAATGAGATCACTCTGGAAGAATCATCTCTTGCAAAATGAAAAAAATGGCCAGTTTATTTTTCTTTTTGCATGTGTTCATCGTCCTGTAAGATCTGTGCACATTACGTCAGGAGAACAATGATGACTTCAGTGAAATATCCGCAATGATTTTGTTACTAAATGTTTAGACTTATACGGATTGCAAATTCTTCAAATGAGGCATAAGATTTCCCAACTAAAGTTCCTCCATTCTTTCAATAGTACATTTTTCATAGATCTCTGACCTTACATAACCCTTTCTGAAACTAGGAATATTCGTCATTCGCACACTCTCACACTCTCTCCTTATCTTGCTAGAACTTAAATCTCTAAGTATACTTTCTTTCCCCGAACTATTGAAGAATAGAACCTGATACCTTTTCATCATCTGGACTCTCCTGAATACAGGATTACATCCTCACTGTTTCTTAATCCTTTTTTGATTTAAAGTTGTTTGTTAGCCATTTTCGTTTGAGATTGTAAATTGTGCATTGTACGTTTATTTATATTGTACCTGGAAACTCCTGCTTGGGCCACATGGCCTGTAGTATGTTGTAAATAAAAAAAATACAACGAATCTTAAGGGACCTTTGAAAATCATTCGTTATTTTGAAAAGCCATTGTAGTGAAAGAATTAACAGCTAGCGTAAAAATTTTAAACGCTGACATGTCAGTCCCCTACCTCTGCTGGGTATACATTCACGACCGTGTTATGCACTAATGAGCGTGAAAAAACAAGCAAACACAGAATATTATGGAACCAGTGTACGCTCATTTGAGGAAGAGCGTGATCTATCCTAATGTGGGCAGCTCGATTGCAAAATATGAACTTTTTAGTGAGCACATCCTTCTTGCGCATGGCAAAGCATCAGCATTAAATACCAATTACTCAAGTTAGTTTGCGCACGTGCTGTTTCGACGTAATCTTCGCTCTCGTAGCTGTTTTCTTATCACCACGAATCTTACTGGTTTTACCGGTTGTCAACTAAGCTCACGTGCATGCTTCTTCGTTGCACTGTGCGTGGTGTTAGAGCGTCAGTGAAGCATGCACGGGTAATCATCGGCGACTTCATCCCATATGTTACTCGCGTTGCATTTTTCAGGCCGTCGTAGCACTCGTTTCGTGCTGCTTCCAGTTCTCATTTTGAACGTTCAACTACCAACCAAAAAGCTAAAAAACAGCCGTGTAACAAGCGTGCAGGTAAAGCTGGCCAATGAAAACAAAGCCAACAGAGCGAAGCCCGACGTGAAGGACAAGTCCCAGGTGATGATGATGGCAATAGGGCTATCGCACATTTGAATAGGGCGGGCACATAAAGAAATGCACGGGCGTTCTGATGATGATGATAGTGACCGGTACGGAGATGGGCATTATTTTTACAGCCACGAGTCGCTACTCGTTATTTTGAAGTGTTGTGGAGATATAAGGGGCATAAAATTCCATATGTTATTCTGAACCATTCAGTATTCTGAAATTCATAGTAGTGAAATATTTTTACAATAAACCGATGGACATTTGGACGGAGATTTTCGAAAAAGTCGTTCATCTGAAAAATCATTAATTTGAGGTTTTCTGTAACGCGATTTGACTGTAGTATGTTGTAAATTTCCACTGTGATATCTTTTTTTCTTGCCTGTTACTCGAGATGCTGCATAGTGACTAAGCTTAAAAGACCTCATCTTTCCACATTTTACTTCCCCCAGGGGCAACTAAAAGAAAAAAAGAGGAAATGGAAGCTATTTCGACACTGGAGAACGCGCTACTTCACACTTTCAGGAGCACATTTGTCGTACAGGGGCCTGGTGAGTTTGAAACTCCTGAACCTCGTTGTCGTGCTGTGTCAAAGTGTTGATCTTTTGTTCTTTAAAGGGACACTGAAGGAAACTATTAAGTCAACATTGATTGTTGAAATAGCGGTCCAGAGACGATGTAGGGTTACTTTTGTGACAAAAAAGGGCTTATTTTGAAAATAAAATCACGTTTTTTAGTGGCCCGCATCGAGTTAGCGCACTTTAAATTACCCGCCTCAAGAAGCAGACTGACTCACGTCACTGTTTTCATGCACAACGTTGCCCGGCTTTACTGCTGACACTAGTAGACAGAATGAAAGCAGCGAAAGCCACTGCAGCAACAACGGCCATTGATTAATTTCCTGCCATTGGCTCCGAGATGGCGGACGTATTTTGGTTCAACGGCCCGCTAGATGGAACGACCTGCCCGGTGTGACCAAGCTGACCAAGCGAAAATTGAATATTTGAATCACTCGTGCCATTCCCTATAGTCACGTCTGGCGGTTCTTTCTTCCATAAATCAAGCATAAACGAACAAGCAGCATTTTATTCCATCTCTTGATGCATGGAAGGTTCTTTATTTAGTGCAGCTAGATTGATTACTAGTGGTTAATTGTAGGCGGTTCGTCCGACATCATCGCTATCATTTGGAGAATGTCCTACTGCAGCGCATGTATTCTTGTGCATTTACCTTAATTTCTCGGTAAGTAGGGCTCTGCTGTTTATAATATTGTCGTTTTACATGTTGTCATACATTGGGCTTTCACTCTGACGTAAATTGTTATTTGACTTTAGTGTGTGACATGAGCCGGTCTGGTTGGTCCACTTTTAGAGGCAGGTAATTTGAAGTGCGCTGACTCGATGCGGACCACTAAAACGTGATTTTATTTCAAAATAGGCCCTTCCTTGGCATAAAAGTGACACTACGAGGTTTCTGGACCGCCATTTCAACAATTGATGTCGACTTAATAGTTGCTTCTAGTATCTCTTTAAACACGAGAAGAGAGTGTGAGCACGAGAAGAGCGCGCTCGCACCTGGTTTGCCGAACCAAACATTTCCTGAGCATGGACGCGTTTCTAATCCGTCTGAGTCAATAAACCCTTGTTTTGCTTCATTCTACCGCTAAAGTCACTTTTATTCCAGAGTATTCTGGGCAATTTGGGGACTTACACTTTCACCTCGATCTCCATGCTTGCTCCGGCAGGGCATAATATGTTCCCATAGATGTCAGACTCTGCCGAGGAAGCACTGCAAAAAACACTGCCACCAGCACCCCCATCGCCGCGCCAGAAATAAATGAGTAGTGCAAACAGAGGCGTCCGCAAGCGAACGTGCATAAGCCCCCCTCTTTTGTTGGTCTTGCGGTGCAGTTTTCTGAAAATGAAGGACCTGGCAAACTTCTTTCTTCAATCCAACGTTGCTTCAGAAAAGTAGGAAGCTCATCAAAAAGAACTGCGGGTACAATGCAAAAGGTGTTTATTTCAGCATGCTGCAACTGGCAATTTGCCATGGTGACTGGTGAGGGGCCTCTTAAGAAATGCAATAATCTCTGCACTTTTATCCATCTTAATTATTGAGCTGGTTTTTTCTAGGTTTAAAAGGATGCTTGTTCAACATGACACCGAGTTCGAGGCAAGCACTCCGACACGCTTTCTGTAATGCCTAACTGCATTAATCTTGGGCATGTACATGATGCCAAAGCAATAAAGAGCATACATGAGCAATCTATCTTACAATCAGTGGTACGAAGCTCGCTTTATCTGGCATGAATGGCCCTGGAGATTTTCGTCTTTGCAGTTGCATTCTCTATCGATCCCTAGCTTTCGTGCATTGAAATGTTTTATTATGCATGCTAGTTCTTCTATTGATGATTGTCTTCCATTTGTATATACTGCGAATGGGGATACATGCGTGTCCACTTTCTCGGTGAAAAAACAAAAGGCAAAACCGAGGCCTCCGACACAGCTCCAATAATTGCGGAGACCAATGGCAAGAAAAACCTGATTGTGGTCGCGATTATTTTACAATTTACCTGTATGGCGTTCATTTTCTTATTTCTTAGTTAAAGCCGAAACTTAGAGCCTTCGAAGCCCTACATGCGTAATGGTGTGTGATGGCGACAACTTCAGATTATCAGTGGTCGCGGTGTGTGCGATGTTTATCACACGCGTCACCTGTCTACTATTTCACGGCGCGTACCGCGGTCAGAGGCTCTGTTAATCTTCATAATCAATGTTAACATGCTTCTCCGTCAGGGCTACTCAAAACAATAGCAGGAGGACTACATATCACACTTTCTTGTGCGACAAGCTGTGGAGAACACGAGTAATTCGCTTACCCAACAGGATTGCATCAGCCCGTATCCAGTGCTCTCGCCATTCTGCTTTGCAAAAGCTGCAGAAATGGGTGCTCGTTAAAGAACCCCAGGTGGTCGAACTTTTCGGAGCCCTCCTCTACGACATCTCTCATAATCATATAGTGGTTTTGGGACGTTAAACTCCACATATCAATCAATCGACAGCTGCAGAAATCAGTAACATAGAAGTCTTTTACTGTTCGTGTCAATTCACAACGCAACAGTAGCGTCGACTGGGGTCTTTTTTCATAGGGCGTAAGACTGTTGCATCTGCTCTTGTTTTCGTCGTAGTTTCGGCGAGTGAACCAGCTAGTGGTTTACATCATGTCGGTTCAGGGATGCGTCAAAGTAAGGAGAGAAATTCATTGATCTTTTTCTGAATGTTAAATGTACAAAAACACCTAATGTTTTGCTCGTTTGTTGTTTCGCTCACGTTAGTTGCACCCGGTTGCCCAGAAAACTATGCAAGGAAGTCGGGCTTTGAACTACTCAAAACTGTGTCGACATGTGGCGCTGCGTGTCCACAAAACTCCTCAGTCTGATGTCTATCGCTGATTTAGAGGTGTTGCCATATGCCGGAGTCAAGTGCTCGCTCGCAGAGCTCATTGGCTGCTCCGACTTTGCCATTGGAATCCAACATAGGCCAAACTCGCCTTCCAAAAAATTTCTTGTGGGCGATGGTGTTGGGAAAAACCGAACATGGCTCCGTGAAACCGCGCTTGAGAATCATCGATCTTTATGTTAAACAATGCACTCGTAGCCTGTTGCCCCCCCCCCCCCTTTTTTTAACTGTAACTGTGCTCTGTTTTCTCATTTAGGGTTCGCTTACATTAGCAGATGCATGCTCACGTCAACGGACAAGCATGTTTTGTAGCAAGGCCCTACATCAGGTCTACATCACGGATCTCAAACTCACCTCATGTAGTGGACTGCAGTTGCAAAAAATCATTTGAAAGCAGGCATTTCCCATATGTCATATACGCGTCATTTCTGAAGGGAACTTGATAGAATGTTTTTGGAGACTATACTGATCTCTAGAAGGACTGCAGTTTGAATAAAAATCCCGAAGTATAGAGCTTTCGTTCCACATTTAAGTTATGCTTTACATTATGATAACTGCATGAGGTGCCTCAAGAAAAAGAGTGATAAGACCAATCATGTCTATATAGCTCATGAGCAAGCTTGTTAAGAAAAAAACATGGTGCAAAGACCATCATGTGCGCAGCAGGCTGCTGGTGAGATGTGTGCTGGCTGCGTGTTTGAACCCTATGCTCTACACGAAATGGACGCACAGTGCAGTTTTGTTGCTTCGTTTTTACATGTTGTTGTGTGTTTCAGAAGGATGACAAGGAAGTGCAGCCCATTGAGGTGAGCCAGATTCGAAGTGTTCGCCCAATTGGGAGCCGTGGTCGCAACATCCCGAAAGCCTTTGAGATCTTCACTTCGGACAAGACCTTTGTGCTCAAGGCCAAGGACAGCAAGAACACCGAGCAGTGGGTGCAGTGCTTGTCCATAGCCTTGGCCCGCTCACATGCCAAGGAGGTTGCTCACTGACACCTCGCATTGGCCTTCTCTTATTTTTTTTTTCTTGTGATACTTGAAAGCAAATGCAGACAATGAGCCAAGTGTTGTGATGAAAAACCTAGCACTTTGAGAGTTACATTTCGATATGTGAGACAAGGCTATAAACTGCTGCATCCTACCACTGCCTTATCCATTATCGTGGAGCTGTTTTTCGCAGAGGTAAGCTGCCAGCTTTCCCCAGCAGCTTTCTGTTCTCGTGTAGTGCCGCATGTTCCACAGGCCGGGTTGCTTGTTTTCTGTCGACTTGACATTCTTGCTATGCAAAACAAAGTATATACTATTGCACAGTTTCAGAGAGGAGATAGTATTTCCAAGGTTACAAATCTTCTGCTCTTGAGATGCAGTTGATGCATTTATATGTATATATATGAATGCCAGTGTGCCTGCCTTTACATGTGATTTTTACAGTTCATTGGAGCATACACTGTTCTGCGAGGACTGTGCAATGGATTATTCGTGCCACATTTTACATTGTGCACAGTTATAGCTGGAATGTGTTTTGTTAACCATTCAGCTCTTGAACCGCTCATTTATAGCCCCTCACCAGGTTTGGGAGTCTCGTGCAAATTATCAGGTTGTTCAGATCACATAGTAACAGTCGTGTATGCAGAGTGTGAAACAACGTTGTAATGTGAAACAGTCAAAATTTGAAAACGAAGGCCACAGATCCTTCTTCTACAGTGAGTCAGGCTTCAAGTGAGAGTCAAGGTCACACGCAGAATGCTTCCTATGCGAAATGCACTGTTTGTAGTGTTACCTACCATGGCATGTGACTTTGGATAAACATCTAATGCTGACTGTGCAGTGTGCTTGTATCCTGTACATGGGAAAAGACAGAGAAAAAATGCCACTTGCTAACTAAAGCACTGTAGGAGATATCGTCTCTTGAAAGTGACTGCTGGCATGTTAACAGGGCGGTTCAGTAATTCTGTCTCATCCAGCAATGAAGTCTTGTGAAAATTACTTCCAGTAAAATGCTCCCTCAATAAAGTGCCTTAGAATTTCCAATGTGTAGCCTGAATTTGCCATGGTGACTGGTGAGGGGCTTCTTAAAAATGCAATTATTGAGCTGGTTTTTTGTAGTTTTAAAAGGATGCTTGTGCAACAACAATGCTAGTGCAATGGAGCTTGAATCTGGCTACTAGTTACATTTAATTCATCCTGTTTGCATATCTGGCTCCATAATCTGCACTGTTTACTGCTTGAAATCTTCCCATTGAAAGCGTCTTTTTTAGACATATCCGCACAGCCCACTTTGCGTGCATGTCAACCGATTAAAAGCTTTTCTTTTATTCATGAGCATGTGCGTGGCATGCTACAGTACAAGCCCTACGTAGGGCTGTCACAGTTCATTTACCTCACATTGTTTTGCCGAGAGGAATTCAGTTTCTCATTAATAGCAGCACTAAAACTCCAGGTAGGCAGAACTAGACACTAGAGGTGCCAAGATGTGATTTGCTCTGGAACTGAGCATTTCAAAACAGCTTTTGTGGACGCCTATAAATGTATACCTAAACCTGTGGTCCTCATCCAGTTTGCATTACATGTGAGAAGTATAAACAGTTGTGGAAATAACATTGCCCAGACTACACATACGCTTTCTTGCTTTAGCAAGCTCATGTCTACTGGCCTCTGTGTTTCCAAAAGATGGCTGACAACAGCTCATGTGTGTCGGGGTGCCTGCAGGCATGCAATTCGCACCAGAAAGGTGCAGGCACTTGCATTGGGTTGTGTCACCATTACCATGGAGCAATGTGACCAACACATTAAAGTTGCAAGGCAGGCTTGTTGGTTCAGCATATTTGAGTAACAATGGTAGCACAAAGAATAGGACACAAAATAGTAGCAATGTGTGTGTCTCTGTATTACTGTCTTGTGTGCCGTTGCTTTGTGCTACCATTGTTATTCAAGTGACCAAAGAGTTTGATCAGAGGAGGCAGTCTGAACGGTGTCTTGCCCACTGTGCCCATTGTGGTCGGTACTAGGACCCAGTCTTTGTAGTCGCGGCAGTGTGCTGCAGACCAGCTTGTTCCTGTGCCGATTTGAATTATGTTACGCGAGCAAGAACAGTCTTCTTTTTTCACACAAATTCTGCAGCTCCAAAACAAGAATAATGATGTTAAACAGGGATAGTAAGCATTTGGAAGCAGTCCAGTTGCAGAATCTTATTGCAGAATGATGTCTTTCAATGAAGCTAGCTCACATCCTTTATAGAAACTTGTTGCTATTCCTTGCAAGGTGTGGCAGGCACAGCAAGCACATAGGCATGTGCTTGCACACAGTGTCAAGCATAACTGTAGTCTGAACTTGATGCTCTTTTACAAAGGACTGTGCTTTGAGCCATTCATCGGAACATCAACATGAAACCTCGCTCTGCTCATATATTAGAAAAAGACTGAAGTTTCTTTCTATGAGGACAACTTTGTATGGTATTTAAGATGTTAAGGTTGATGCTTCACTCTTTTATTCTTCCTACTTGCTGGCGAGTAAGCATGTGTGCAATTGTCGGTTTATGAATAATAGTTAGGTTACCATCACTCAGTGCCTTTTCACTGCCCTTTTATCTTTTGAACTGTTTCATGCATGTTGTTTATCACCGAAAAATTTTGTTGTTGTATTTTTTTAGAAATTTCCTATACAAGGCACACGTCACGGGTGAAAGAATTTGACTCAACATAAGGGACACCTGTTTAAACTCATTTTTTATGCACTGCCTAGGTTTGCCCAAAACTGTTCACATTTTAGTATTGTTTTTTCGTAGCATTGAAAAAGCAATGTTTTTTTTTGCATTGTGAATTGACAATAGCACCATCTGCACACAGTATTCATACATTGCTCTTTGTGTTTATAGTACTTTAGCTTTCTTTGGTCGCAAGTCTATGACTTGCCACAAAATTTTGTCACTTCTATGGCCCGCTGAACTGTCTCATGCCGTAAAAAATGGCATACCTACAACATATGCACAGAATTTCGCAATTCTTAGAGTCATATCCAAATGTATTTATCCATGTGCCTTCATTTTTTTACAAGAGGTTTTGTTTCTCCCTTGTTAACATAGTGTGCACAACAAGGTGGATGAGCACATTGAAGGGATCTTATGTCGGTGTGAAAAAGTTGAATGAATTATTACAGTGCTAGCTGCTTTAATAAGGAAGCAAGCTGTCAAGGAAAGGTGTGTGGCATGCCCACCCATGCCAGCACCATTTTTCACGACCACAGATGAAAGTGTCAGCTGTGTTTTTCTAGTGTCCTCGACCTCCACAAGACATATCTGCCAATTTTTCGGAGGTCACTCTCCTTTGTCAAAAGTAGTACTCTGTCAATGGCCAACAATCTGAAGTGTGCTAGGACTAGGTAATGTTGGAATAAGTAAATGACAAAACAAGAATTTCTTTGAAAACAAATGCCTTTATTCCACAAGCGACAAAGTGGCAAACTGGCTAGAAAAGCTTGTTACCACGTTGCTGCACAGCCGTATGCTTGCTTGCACGCGACCGCTCTGTCGGTATCCGACTGTTGTCATGCTGTGTGTGCATTTGGTGAAAATACGTGCTGTTCACGTTCAGTATTTATAACTTGTGGCAGTGCGAACTGCTGGGAACCATGACCCAACAGCCAGATTATTTACAGTCTTTTTCAGTGCAGTTGAAATCCAAAAAAGGCGTGCAAGTTTGGGGCAAGATGAACGATTGAAAAGATGAAAATTAGTGAACACGAGGTGTTGCTGGAGCTGCCGTTTCAAAAAGCGGACTTGTCTTTTTGAACGCTGCAGTTTTGAGACTTGTCGAAACATTGGCTCCAGCGAAACTCCATGTGCACGAATTTTTATGTTTTCAGCACTGTTGTTTCATAGCACTCCCTTCACTTATTACCTCTTTCAATAATACTGCTTAAAGAATTATTGCTTTGCAACTGTGTATATATAAAAGAGTGGAATAAAAAAACCAAATATTCACAACTTTCTTACTATAACCAGTGGGTGCTTATCGTGCCTGCTGCTTTCATTGTTGAAAAAAGCACAGCATTTAGCAGGCATGGTATGCATGCATATTTTACCCTTCTGTTGGGGATACATTTCTGCATCTTGATAAACATGTATTATTACTGTGCTTCATGCATTTCATGACGTTGTTCCCCTTGTGAGAGTTGCTTGTAGCATTACAGGAGATGCATCATGTCGGGATAACTTTGATCAGCCGTAAAAGAAGAAACTTGTTTGTTGTGCACTCTGGCACAGGTGGTCATGTGAACTGAGACATTCCTCTGCTTGTCTTCAGAGGTGAGCAAGCGCAAGCTGCGTCATTATTTTTGCAAATCTGCAAGAATAGCAACAATAAGTATAAAGTCTTCAGACATTCTTTGCAGTGTGTCCAGGATGAAGGTGCGGAATGTTTAGTCTGTTGAACGAAGCTCCAGCCTGACTACTCATAGCCAGCACCATCCAAATCGCAGCCCTAAGGCTTAAAGTAAAACTGGATTAAGAGCTTCATCGTAAATATAAGTATGAAAATGATATGAGTGGTTTAAGGCTTTGGCTGGGGATTTTTTTTTGTCTATTCCGAGGTGTGATTATTTTTATTTTGTCAGTTATGAACTCAAAATGTGTAAAGCAGGTTGTGTGGGCATGAAATTGTCTTTTTTCTGGAGCTGACACTTATACCTGGCCTTTTTTATTCTTCTGATGTCTAACTGTTTTAAGCAAAACCCACGGTGAACTTACCTTACTATTATAGAGATTAAGCTTTACATAAGTGGCATCCATTTACATGTAAACAACATAGCAGGGTCAGGCTGGTACGACAGCTTTGCACATTGCATGCTTCAAGTGCTCTTTGAATTTCACATGAGGTGAAAACGTTTGTAGAGGCAGTTTGCTGTGGGAAACATCATGCTCCAACAGATATGTGCTTCAGATCTACCAGGCTATTTGGTCCATTTATTCTCAACACATGCTTGTCTTGCTTTGTATGTTTGCTTTGATGTTTCAACAGTAAAGTATTAGCAAACATTGAGCTTTGGATTAACCATCTATTCTAAATTTTTTGTTTTTTATTCTTAATGACAGTAGTTTTATTAGCTAAACACAGTCTGCAATGGACTATCAAGTATGCATGTTTACATGTGCCACCCCATCTGAAATTTTATGATGACCATTATATGATGATCATCATAATAAAGGTTGATGCTGTGCAGATGATGTAAATAAAGCAGTGTGTTCAGTTGACATTTGGTGCTTGGAGTGGCGTCAACTGTGGGGCTCGGCTTCATTTTACTCTGCTCCAACTGGAATAAGGTCATTTTCACTCATTTTCTTGTGCTTTCAGACCATGCTTGCACAGCATGGCACTGTCAGTTTCAGTTAGTTTTTTTTTTTTTTTTTTGCGAATTCGACAGATCTCATTATTATGAAGCTAATAACATAAAGGTTGTATAATATTGGATGTAACCACCTAAGTCATGGTTAGGTAGACTATCTTGTGACCATCACAGAACACAGCTTTGATGGAGTCTACACAGCTTTAGAACCTAATTGTGCTCTTGCAGCATAGGTTGTGAAATAATACGTAATGCAAGCAACAGTCCAGCTGAATGAAAATGTACATTGCTCATGATCCCAGTTGTTCTATGCTACACAGTTCAAGCATTTTCTGATAAAAATATGATAGTCTCACTGACAGGTGGTTAACAGCTTCAGCAGACTTTATTGAGTTTCACCATCATCAGTCATTCTTCATCTTTTTGCTAGTGAATCTCACCGCAAATTGTTAATATTTAAATGTAATTCTAATTTATATTAAAGTGATTGGGTTGTTTCTGTTCACAGCATGCTTCAAGGACATGGAGCAAACATAATAAAGAATTGTTTATTAGGTAATGCTTTATAAGCTGCTATTTTAGAGTGCTGCTTCCTGGCACTCTAAAATCTGTTTACCAATCCATGTACAGCTATTTTATTGCACATCTACTACACACAATGCATGAACTATTGGTTGTTACTGAACAAAGCACATGTTTGCCTTCTTGGACAAGTCTTGCTCACACACTTTACCGCCCATTATGCTGGGCCACCTTATGTAAATGAGTCGAGCCAACTGAAAGTGAGTTACGTTGTACAATGGAGTACTGTAGCACATGAGCTCTTAATGGCATTCTCCATGACCTCTTTTCTACCAGAGGTTTTGAAACATTCCACAAATGCCAATAACCTGCAGATTGTCAGTGTGGTACACATCATTATGTAGATAATGGCATTTCATTGTAAGTTAACTTTAGTCAAATTGAAATGTATTTGTTGTGTAAAACTGCCAATATTACTTCTCCAAAATACTATATTTAAAGAGAGCTCAGAATCTTAGAAACTCAGAAATTCTGAAGAAGCTCAAAATCTTGGAAAACTCAGCAGTGTAAAATATCGGGAAAGCCAGAACCCGACTCTCAGCTACACAGTTTTTGTTTTCATGCTTTATTTGTGCTTTTTAAGTGTGGTTCACTTGCTTGTCAACCTTGGATCATCCTGCACACTAAAGACCTTGGATCATTTAAGCGGAAAAAAAAAAATTCCATATTGGGTTGCAATACCTCTAGAGCTCTGTACAATAACACATTTCAGTTACCATTTACAGTTACCATTTATTTATCTTAAAATTGCATCAAACATTTTAATAATGAACTAAAAGCTGGTTATTTCCACGAAAGATTGAGAAAAGTAGTATACTTGATATCTCCGATGTTTGTCGTATTTTTGTATTATGCCCTTAGGACCGAATCGTACGAAATCACACTTGGCTTTTAAATGAAAATTTTTTGACCCAAGGAAAAATCGAGAAGCATCGCCGGTGACGACGGCCATTTTACAAAGAGGGTGTTTTCGTGAATCCGCAATCATGCTAACAAAGACGCTAGCTAAATGTCACAAATACCTTCCTGCTTGGCACAAATAGGAGTAATAGGAGAAATAGCTCACTTGATTTACTCTAACTCTGGGCAAATAAATATTTTTTGAAATTCTCTAAAAACGCTGTCCAGAAATGCTTAACAATTGGCCAGAATTAGAGAAAGTTGAGTGAGCTATTTCTAAATTACTTCTGTTTGGTTCGAAAAATTTTTCATTTAAAAGCCAAGTGTGATTTCACGCTGTTCGCTCATACGGGCATAATACACAAAAATACGAGGAAGATCGAAGATATCAAGTGTACCACATTTTTTTTTTATCTTTCGTAGAATCGCCCAGCTGTAAGTGCTAAACTAAGGTTCAGGTGTCTGTGCAGCAGAAAGCATAGAATGTGCTAGGCACATTAAAACTTTATTATATACTACATGGCCCAATGCCTGATACAATTTGTCATCGAAGAAGAGCCAGCGAGTGCTGGCCCTTCTGAGTATGCCACAACCTTGTAGCAGTCTTGTGAACTACCCACACACTCGCGCATTTGCTCAATGAACGCAAACAGACTGAGCCAGGAACAATACACACTAATTTTAATTTCAATGGTGACTTGACACTGTTTTGTAAAATATAGTGGTGTTAAATATTCCGTACACTTTGGTACAATCTTTTTCAGGCTCGTGAAGTTTGAAAAGCTTGAACAGGGCAGGTTGACCAATCAAGTCGGGCAAACTGCTTATTCAGCATGTGCACAACGCAATGTAATAGTCTGCTGCTGATGTCACACATGGCGCACCACTCAAATTTCTCTGTACTAATAGCAACACAGTTAACAAAGTTCACCTTGCATTATGTAACTTTAGTATGTTATTTTCACTTTGCACGAAACCTGTGAGCATTTCTTTTTACCTTAGTAAACATTACCAATTTCACTTACTGCTCCCTGAATTACAAATAGACATCATGACTTCCACTGCAAGCAGTGTTAGTGTGACTGTACCACAAAAAAAAACTACTGCCACAATGCATTTTCTTATTATTGTAGCTGCGGAGGTGTTTTCATTTCTTTCATGTTGCTGTGTCTGCGATGCGGTATGCTTGATATATGTGCAGCAGGGTGCCAGTGGAATCTCTATAGCAGGATATAGTACTCAGTGCTGTGTACAATTCATGAAATTATGTATCCAATGAAGTGTAGCAAAGGCCATTATACATGACAAGTAATAACTGCATCAGGGTTACTCATTAGTGCCTCACAATTTTTTTCTGCACTTTTTCTGTCTTGATTCTCTTCTTCTATGTGCCCAATTACATGTTCAGTGTAGTGTCTGCAATGCCATAAAAACAAACCTACCTTGTCACTCTTACTGTTGCAGTGATGTGTTTTTTTTTTCTTCTGTGCGGTAGTGCACCAGGCCTAGCCTATTTGATTATTTGAATTGCATCTTCTTTGATACCTTAGACCTTTCATCCGGTATGCTGCTCGTGTTGCCTTTAGGCCATATCAAATAGAATTTTGGTTTTTGTTGTTCAAACACCTTTCAGCCATGCCTTTTACTACAAATCAGAATATATATTGCAGCACATTTTTCTCTGCAAAATTCCCTTGTGCCTATTGGATGAATTGCACATTTGCTTTTTGGAAAGGGGCACAGCTCAACATTCTTGACAGTTGTATTAAGGGTATGAAGTTGCAGTTCATGCGCCACTGCCTTTTCCTGCTGCCATCTTCCCTATAGAATTTTTACTCACATATATTTCCGGTTCTTTCAAGTTTGACAAGTAATAACGTTTTACCACCACTATACAGGTTGTAGAAACTATGTCTTTACCCATGTACCATGGGCATCATGGATTTTTACCAGGTGGTATGTGAACTTGCCTGTTTCAGAATTTCTGGATATTTACTGAACACCGACTTGTATGTAGACGTAAAATGTTTTGGTGCGAAGTATTTTGTGGTTCCTATTTATTATTTAAGCTAATTGAACAATTCTTGTGTGTAATGTGGTGCCGAGCAGTTTTATTCTGCAAGCCCCGCTTTCATGAGTTACCTCATCTTGACATGTTCCTTTGTTTCTTATTTCCACTGGTAGTTGTCATAACTGTGTAATCTCTCTTGCCTGAATGCTGTAGATAAGCTGCACATCTTTATGTCACCCTGTGCCTTGCCATAGTCGATGCAATCGGTAGAGATGCAGAACTGCTGCCTAACAATGGAACAAGTGACATCTGTCCTGAAAAGCTTGTTTGACTTGAAACTTGTTTGTTAGCCAAGCAAGGAGTTCCTGATTCATTCTTGTAGCAACAATTTTGTAATGCCACTACAATTTATTGCACTAGTTTGATAAGTCTACCAAACTTCATAAAAGCTTACAAGTATACATTGTGCAAAGTCACTTTTATGCTGAACTTTGCGGTGGCGTGATCATGCGAGTTCTTCTTTTGGTCTATCTACTTGCCTCCCTTTAATTTTAGCAGTTTTGGTAATGATAAAGATGTTCACAAGTTGCTGTAATGATATTATCATAAGAGCTGCATAAAACTTTCACAATGTTGCAGCATTTGTGCCAGGTGCTAAGTATACATGGTGACCAGCTTTTGAGCGATCTGCAGCTGTTTGACATGTGAAAGGTGTATTGCAATCTGTGTAATTACACAGTGGAAACCTAAGCCAATGGTAGAACACATCAGTGAGGAGACAAAAAGAACGATGCAGCAATGCAGGCACAATTGTTTTTGTCTCGCCCTGGATATGCTATGCCAATGGCAGTTGTGATGAACCACCAAGAAGCCCAAGGTGCAACAGATAAAGGTTGTGGGTTCCATCCCCACCACGGTGGTCACATTTTGATGGAGGCGAAGTGGTAGAGGTCCATGTACTGTGTGATATCGGTGCACATTAAAAGACACCAGATGGTTGAAATTTACGAAGTCCTTCCCGATGACGTCTCATAATCTTGTGGTTTTGGGAATGTTAAACCCCACGTATTATTATTATGAAAACTGTAATGTTGCCTCAGCTGAAAGCAATGACAATGTAATATAGAGCAAAAAGTTGCTGTAAGGATATTATTATAACAGCTGTATAAAATTTGCACGATGTTGGAACATGGCTTCTGTGAGGTGTACTGTCGTCAAAGAGCACTTCGATACATCTATGTTGCTGCCTTTGCCGCTTGACATTTCCGCCTACTTTTGTCTCAGTTATATAACGTTTCCTCTCGTTCCGGATGCTTCGAATATTTATTACGTGTTTGTTTTTTAGGGACTTCAGTTTTGCTTTCTAACAGTTCTTTTTTTTTATCCTTGCTTTCTCCCTCATGTAGTACTTCTTCCTTTTTTTCTCACTTCAGTGTGCTCTGATGTTATGAACATAATTTTTTTTTTTTGCCACAGAATTACTGATTGCTTGATCTTTTCGTAAACTTGTATTTTGAACCTTCTCGTAGCATAGCTCTGAGGAAGTCCTTCCTGTTCTGTCGCTTCGCTTTGATTCCTTTCAATAGCGATTTTTATCATAGCATTGTCTGAAGTATAGGGCATTCACACCTTGAAAACCAGCTGTATTGCACAAAATGCAAGAGAATGGTTGAATGATTGTAGCAATTCGTTAAGGAAAATTGATGGTGGCAAGCTATGACCATCGTTGCCTTCAGTTGTTTTCTCGGTGTTCGTGAGCTGTAGGTTCACGACAAATGAGAACTGTAGCTAGCCACTATGGTTAGTCTTCTGGAGCTTCCTTCTAATATCTTGACATGGGTATTCGTGTGTTTTTATTCTTTTAACCGTGAGGCAGAGTGCCCGTGAGAATTGTATATAACACTATTTATTGGGGAGACTGTTTTTATGTATGAAGTAGTGGTGAAATGCCATAATACAATTACGGTTTTAGCTTCATTTATGCTGTCTTCCAGATTGTTTTGGGTGCAGGAATTTTTTCCTTTATAAGAAAAGTTTTTAGGTTTGTTGAGATTTTTATGTGTGTTTGCTACGAGAAGTCATGTTTCAATTATATCCATACATACTGTTATAATTTTGCAAGTGCTCTTGAGCTGCTAGAATAAGGCAACTCCCGTCAATCGCTGAATGCTGTTTAGGAAGTCTCAGCAAAAAGTGCCTTTGGAATTGCTGCTGCTAATAAATGGTTATTTCGGGATCACCATGTTTCTCTAGTGCATTGAATTAAAAGCGCGGACTGAATCACCATCAGATACTATTTCCTGAAGAGAATGTCAACTCTGAAAAGAGTTGCTTCGTCAAGTAGAACAAAATACTCTATTGTACGGGTGGTGCGCAACATTGGCTGGTTATATCCCAGAGGCATTGTTAGAGGCTTCTGGCATATAACATTAAAAAAAAAAGACCGAATTTCACCCCGCCATCGCTGTGCAAGCGCGCTTAGCAAAACAGGCGCAGCGACAGATAACTCGCGTTGCGCGCGCCGTACTCTCACTTTTTCGGTCGTTCCCGCCTCTAAGCGCAAGTGACGCTCACCCCAGCCGCTCCCCACCCTACCGCTTTCATAAAAGCAAGGTCAAACGCATAGTCGTTTCCGTCCCATTTGTGTCGGTTGCATTCGTACACAAAACAACTGCAAGCTGTTTTTTTTCCCCCTTGGGGGTCGAATCCTTCAGGACCCCAAGAGAAGTTTTTCATCCATCCATCCTTGTCAACTGGGCTTCGCTAGGGTGGCCTAGCTTCGCTGCACGAGATTAGAGGGAAGACCCACACAAGAACACTAGCTGAAGAAACATAATCGGTACCCCTAACCTACCACGAATTGCTGCAACAGATTGGCTTGAGCGCAGGTTATGCCCTCCCCACATCCCAAACTCAGAAGAACGAAGACACGCAGTACAGCTGACTTCAAAGCGGTATTCTATTGCACCACATAAAGCCAATTTCATACGCCTAAATCTGCCGACATTTGTTGTAGAAGACAGCCTGGCACACCTCTGCATTGCGAGGCAACCAAGCCATACAAGCATCAGCCACAGATGCAGACCGAAAACTCCTCAGTGAAGCGTGCAGTGATTGAGGCTAGCCCGTCGCCATTGCACGGGCTTTTTCACCTATTTCGGCCGTTCACACGTCCTCTCCCCTGCTCCGCGGTACGTCGGTGCTGCGGGAGTGAAGTGGACCTCTCACGCGGTGCCGGATCTCACGCGCGGCGGGAAGCAGAAGCTCTGTGAACAGCGCAAGGTAAGTACGTCTTTCTTTCCCATCCGTCGGCTCTTTTAAAGAGTCTTTCTTGGGGACCTTCCACGCAATAACTTTGGTCTGTCTGTCTGACTGTACATTTTGTTTTTGGGGATCGCTCGGACGGAGTTCGCCATGGTGCCTTTTGCCCGCGGCGAGCGCTTACATTCCGTTGTCCTTTGCGAACGCTAGGCCGACGAGCGGTGTGTTCGCGCGTGGTCATACGAAGCCGAGGCCAGGCTGAGCCGTGTGTTCCTGTGGCTCGCGATCCACGCTAGTGGCCGCACTCCTGCGCGATACGTGTACATTACAGGCGTGAGGCTGCGATCTCCAAGTCGACCTGCGCCAACTCGTAGCGCGGGCGAAGCGGATGGACCAGGCCAGAGTTCCTGGAATACGGGACGTCACTTAAGGCTCGTTCACACCGAAGGCGCGGGGTGGCAAAGCGAAAAGCGCTCAGGCGGCGAAAGGGGTCCCAAGCTCATGACAGCATATATCAAAGGGTCCGCCGAACTGCTCGCTTAATTAGCGGTCCGTTTTGCGGCGGCCGCCGCGGTCTCTTCCAAGGAAGATGCTGTATTTGTTGTCCTCTCTCGAACTGCTTGCGGTGTCGTGGTGACACGACGTCTCACCCTCCGTCTAGGAGGGACAATACCTGGTGGGCATAGGCAGCCGGCCGGTCGGCTACGTGTTTTAGGATCCAAGGAGCGCCGCATCCTCGTCAGCTCTGGCGCCAGTCGCAACAGCTCGTCCGCCGGTGGGAGATTCGACCTGAGGGTGACCAGCTGCACAGGTTGCCCGAAGTGCCGTTGTGTGGTGCCGTCTTCCAGGCCACTGTCGATGACGCCCAACCAAGGACTCTTTCCCGCTCGTTCCTTGTGGCTTTTTTCTGAGAAAAGCATTCATATGCCACCACAGGCACGGGAGGGCGTCCTGCCCGCACTGAGACACATCGAGTCCTAAAAATTCTCCGAAACAACCTTCCTTGAGTATTACCAAACACAAAGCAGCTATCGGAACGTTTCTCTGAAAAGTGTGGCAGCTTGGGCAAGTTGGTATGACATGACGATAGTTATAGCGCGAGAACAGAACAACGACTCAGAGACAAGAAGGACGCGCTCGTGTCGTCCTTGTCTGTGTCGTCGTTCTGTTCTCGCGTTCTATCGTTTCTCTGAGCTTTCGCCAAAACTCCCAATCCCGATTCGAGAATAATCTTCCCATTAACTGCTTTCAAGAAAACTAACCGTCAAGTGGATGCGCTCAATCCCAATTCGAGAATAATCTTCCCATTAACTGCTTTCAAGAAAACTAACCGTCAAGTGATGCGCTCCCCGTGGCATACCTGTGTGCTAGCGTGAGTAATCCGCTGTAACCTACCAGGCCTCATACACATAAAATAAAGCCCTTTGCTTCACGCTATCTTTTAGGTCCCAAAAGTTTGTGCCGCCAAAGCTAGTCGTCAGTTCCCTCAGCTGACGAAGAGACGACTGCTATGCTGCACCTGCATCAGGAACATCCGCAAATGCACGTCACAGTGCTCCTGCCTAGATGAACTACTACTTGACTTTCCCTTGCAGTTACTACTCTCGCAAAGCATACACATAAACTCATGAACTAGCTTTTCTTCACCGTACACATGCGAACAAAACGTTAAATTAACAAAAGAAACTTTCTCATGAACCCTGAAAAAACTCGCAAGGAATATCTTAGTGTCTCTGCGCTCAGTCGTACTTAGTTCATAACGTCGCTCCTGCTCATTTACGTGAGTGAGTGATTTTTATACGAAAAAAAGATAAAAGTGAGCCCCGTAACTGTCTCTCAGGGGGAGGACACCTCAACAGTAGCTCACGAGGGGTGGGGGTAAAGGAGGCATTAAAATGATAGGATTAAAACGTAAAGAGAGAGGGGGGGAGGAGAGAGCGAGGCGCAGGGACAGCGAACGACAGAAAACGACGGAAGTACGGAGGAGATGGGAAAGATGGACACGGTCGCAGGAGTCGGAGGACGGGGCACCACTCGACTAGAGCTCTTCTCGGCGTCACGAGATGGCGTAGGGCGAGCCCTGTCAGCAAGAGCTGCGCTGTCGTCGGAGATCGCGAGGGCACAACCGGTCGGCACGAAATCCAGTGAGCGAGTCCGTGTATCTACCATGACGCAAGCTCCTATGCGTGTCGTTTATGCAATCGCACCACGCTTACCTTAGAAAAACATACAACGCCCAAGAAATGGACAAAACCAAAAATGGTTTACCTAAACACTATCTAGTAGCCGACATACTTAAAAGAACATATTCTAAAACGCAAAACAAGCTTAAACCGTCCAGAGCAAACGTCAAAACAAAACAAATCCACTAGTGACCATCGTCAAAAGCCCATGGCAGTCTACTCCCTTTTGAGACGAACGCGCTGTGTCGCGTCTTGTGGGTCCCTTTTTTTTTTTTGAGGAACGGGAAAAGGAACAATGACAAAACCCATTCGCTTCGCCTCCGACCCCCGCAAAGCTCCTCACTGGCAACCAGAGTTCTTACTCTCGCTCAGTTACTATTAGCGAGCCACGGACCTCGTACTTCTGCGGCCCGTCAAACATGCTGTCCATAGAACGTTGAAAGGCTGACTGTCCCCTTCCTTCCGTTTGCCTTTTTACCCGACGTGTTTTTTTTTTCTTTTTCGTTTTGTCCGGCGCCGACGACGACGAACGACTAATTCTGTAAACTGCCCTCGAACGTTCACTAACTTTCTTCAAGCGGTCTGTACTCTTTGTCGTACTCTTTGCTTTACGACGCCGCTTCCGTCTACGCTTCTTAAGGCATTTCTGAGCCTCTAGCACGCATCTTCTGTACACTCTGCTCGTCCGAAGCTGGTGTTCTTGCCTAGCGGGTCGAAATCTGCCTGGACCCTGCATGCAAGATTGGCCGTCGGGACAGCCTCGCTGTGTCTGTGCCAGATGTTCCAAAGCTATCTTAGCTGTTTCGCTAAATTTACCCTGGCACAGCACCTCGTTGTACTTATTCTGGCCTTCGTCGGCCTCTTCTCTTAGCGTAGCAACATTCGCAGTTGTCAAACTCGGTTCATTTTAGAACCTGCCGTTATACCTCATAGGTGCTAGACTCTCCTCTACGGCTTCGATCTCAATTGCAGCGTAGTCACTATTCAACTAGTTGTACACTAACATGATATTTCCTTGTATCTACGCATGACACGCAACGGAAACGCCATACACTATTTTCCGTCAGCTGCCATCACCTTATTTTGAAGGAGCTCATCTCTTAAGCCCTGCAACTCGCTCTAATGCGTATCACTGTCCTTCCGATAGATATGTATATACAACGCATATAGGCTACCAAAATGATAGAGCGCTAATGAAAACAAAGTTCAAACTTGTTATCTACAAAATCACTAAAATAAACAAACAAATCATTTCTTGCAACAATCTTGAATCAATATTTTTGAGAAGCTAACAGCTGTGCTCAACAACCTTGAGTCGAACTCGTGGTGGTCGCGCCCGGAACGATTTTCTCGACAACCGGGGTGTACAACCACGGCTGCTGGACGAAAGAGTGCACGTGGTACCACACACGACACTGCTCGTGCTCCCGACCGGGTTGCAGAAATTAGGTGCCTTTTCTCATCTTCTAGCCACTACCACCACCACACGTAAAAGCCAATCGCCTTGCAAGCAAACCCCGCGACGTTCCTCGAAGCAGACTTGCGGTTGTCCCTTCCTGCTACTTCGCGAAACCCACCGACTTTTGTGTTCTGCACCCCGTTCAATGCGCCGCGAAAACAACGGAAGGGTCCCTTTCCCTCTGACCACTTACGCACACAACGCGCTTCTCTTTTCCTTGCTCCTCGGCCGCTCGGACGCTCGCGATATGGCAACTTTCTCGCAATTTCTCTCCGCCATTTGAACGCATTCCTCAAACGCGTTGCGATTTTCGCCTGCCTGTTTTTAGGACGCTTT